CCCGACTCGCTACCTTATGTTTGTCTCCTGGATTCCCCAATCAGCCTAATTATGTTAACTATATCAAATCCTTTTATAATTTTAAATACTTCTATTAGGTGCCCCCTTAATCGTTTCTTCTCTAGCAAAAAAATGCCTAACTTTTGTTGAATTCAGTCTTAACTTGAAGGTGGGTTCTTAAAAGAAACTTAGAGTAAGAAAACTGGCTTCAAATTTAACGACTATTTAAGAATTTGCCAAATTTTAAGCTGCTACATAAAAGAGTAAATCTAGATCCAGATAGAATTTCTCTCCCCAAATGTTTATGGTTATATAATTGCAAATGTTGATGTCATCAAGTATTTATTTGGATTTTTTAAAATAAGTTATCATGTATTATATATTAACATTACATGTTCATTTTAAGGTTAAAAGTTGCAGTACAATGTTACTTCACTTTAGTTATTATTCAGTTTACAACACATCATCTGATAGAAGTATGTTATTGTCTTATCTGTTATTTCCCGTTGTCATGTTACTTTTTTCCGTGTGGGTCTTCACAAAAAAGTAACTTGGCATTGCAGCCTAATGTATGCCTTTTCTGCAGTTTCTCGAATCAACCATCACATATGGCCCTGTTTCAAACTGTGGGTCCTGCCTTAATATGTAACAGATGGATCAGATTGTGCAATTTCACAAATATAAATTATTTATCACACCCGTTGAATATCCACATGCACATTTTTAAGGTGGTCATCCCTTATTCATTTTATATTGAATTGACTGCACCGTATCACTCTATGTAACTTTATCTAACTATGTAACAAGATATACATGAGCAACTTTTAACTTCCAGCAGAGCAAAAAAGTCATCAGTTCATTTTAACTTTTATAGTGGAAAACTTACGTTGTAAAATAGGTTATATTACAAATCTGAAGTAACATTTCTAAAAACTATATTTTCTCTACATATTGCAAGAGTGTCTTTTAAGGCTAGTTTTACTGAGCCTTAATTCTGCACTTTGTGCCATGGTCATATTGGTAAATTGCATTGTTCACATGATCTCGATTGGCTCCCCTACGTAAACAGTTAAATTGTCAGTTTTGACACACTGAGAAACATTTTCTATCCAATAAATGTGAAGTTTCTCGATCTTTCCACCCCCATCCCCACCCCCATTCCACCTAGTGGAAATTGAGCAGAGTATTCACCTCCTTAAAAATAACCCCACTATTAGTTTGAATGGAAATTAGATCAAAAAGAATAGATTGGAAAAGGTCAGCATAGATAGTGCCTTGATGCCAGAAAAAGCACCTCAGCACATAAAGTACTTTTCTCCAGAGATCGTCATGCACATCATGCCAACCTGCAAGACTGAAATTTCGACCTGAGATAGCCTCAGATTTGCGTTCTGCAAGTTTACATGATATACATATGTTATATATGGGGTTCTTTGCAGGATACACTTTATATCCTAAGGTGCTTTTTCTGGTGACCAGGTATCACTTACACTACTCTTTTGTCAATGAGATTTTTTTTAACCCCACTGTTGTAAACTGGTTTAACTTTTATCATGAAATGGTCAGAGTCCAGGTGGTGTGGTGGTTTAGAACACACCTCTGGCCTGGATTATAATTCATCCTAGACAGAAGGAAAAAAATGGTGAGATGTTGTTTCTTTCTGATGTCTGTTTAAAGGTCCTCGATATAATGAGTTCCAGTTGTGTCAAGTTTTCAGTGCGGAGCTCATGGTATTCTGTCAAATGTATGATAACTGGCCCAAGTTCAGAAATCTATCTTAAAAAGTTCCATAAGGATAGACAGTGGAAAAACTAGCATATGGAAAAGGGCAAACTGGTGTGGTAGGAGAATGCGTGTCAATTTGTGGGTTTAGGCATTCTGCCAGATTAATGTGGTTATGCTAATTTTCATTTATCCCATGGTATTCTAACCATGAGTTACTTTATGGTATTACTGAGTGCAAAATAGAAACATTACCCTCATAACTACTATATTTCAACAATATTTATTGTGCTGTACAAATGTAAAAGGTAACATTTATTTTAAATTTTCAAACTTGGTACTGAAAATTGAGTTAAATTAGTGATCTCAATTTAAAAATTGTTAAATATTGAATAGAAATTACCCAATTGTGCTGGATAGGGGCAGATCCCTGCCCCGGTTCTCAATGACCATGCCCTTGAAGTCAGGTTGTGCTTTCAAGGTGGAATTAATTAATTAATTAAAAAGTAAGTAAGTAAGTAAATAAGTAAGGTGGAAGGCAAACTAGATGGACCTTGGTCTTTTATTATTAATCTAGTATATCTTATGTTCATTCAACTCCTGGCTCAAGGACAGCAGTTTTTGACAGCTAGTTTGTGGGATTCCAAGTTTTACTGAAGAAATAAGCTTGAATCTAATGCAGGGGTTAGGGAGGGGGTCTACCTTTCATTTATATTGCTGGGTATTCACACACATTTTCTAAATTTAGACAGCAAATTAGACCCCAATTTATGTAAAAGGTGGAAGAGAATTCCGCATCCCAGTATGATGTTCTTTATTTTGATGAACACAAAAGAAAATTAAATTTGAGGAAGCAAAAATATTGAGCTGTGACGGAGATGTGAGAATTTCACTTATGATTCGAGAAATCGTGAGGTGTAGAATATCAATAGACAAAGAAAGTTAAAGAGGAGGATTATAGGTAGTAGCTGTGGGTTGTGAGAGACCCAAATTCAAAGAAACCAGAGTATAATTATTCCATCGGAGGGCATGGAGGACATCAAAGCTCAATGGTTCAGCCATCATACTGAGAGAATTGAAGATTTTATACAATGAAGTTGATTAGAATGGAGTCATCAACAAAAACAGTGGATGAGGTTGGATGGCAATTAGAGGAAGTCAGTAAGGTGGAGAAGGAATATGGTCGGAAAAAGAGCAGAACCATGGGTGACCCCGAGTTAATGGAAAAAAAGGTTAGATAATTAACTACAGAAGAGAAAGAACAGTTTTGAAAGAAAACTAAATAGAAAAAGAGCATATTTCTGGTGGAAGATCGTACCCCGGTTAGTTGTATTGAAGGGCATAGTGACAGACCCTTTCAAAGGCTTTGGAGGCATTCAAGATGATGGCAAGTAAATTATCAGAGTGTTCAAAAGTAGGGACTTTGAGTTCATCGTCTTAGCCAACGTAGTCCAACTGGTGGTCCGCAGGCTGCATCTGGCCTGGCAGGTGATTTTATCCGACCTGAGACCATTTCCAACATTCCAACTTACGCTCCTTCCCTCCCTGGTGAACGTCCTCCTATGGCAGCTGCAGGAGCCGGCGGTTGGGAGGACACAGCGCAGAGAATGGAAATAATACCGACCATGGTTGCAGTGTTTCAGGAAGGCAAACGCATCTCTTACCAACTGCATCCTTAGCAACTTAGCAACTTCAACATCTATACGCTCCCTCTTGGTGACATCATCTGCAGACGTGGGGTCAGCTTCCACATGTATGCGGATGACACCCAACTCTACCTCTCTGCCTCCAACCTTGACTCCAGGACTACTGCTGTCCTGACAGAATGTCTGTCGGACATCAAGTCCTGGATGAGATCTAACTTTCTATTGTTGAACGTCAACAAGATCAAGGCTCTCCTGATTGGCTCCCGTCAGTGCCTCCACACCTCAGGCGCTTACAGCATCACCATCCATGGATGGACACTCCACCTTGCTAAGCCAGTACAGAACCTTGGCATCTTGTTTGACCACATCTGATGACCCACTTTGCCTTCCCCCACCTCCGCAACATCGCCCGGCTCTGCCACTGTCTCACACTACAGGCTGCCGAAACCCTCATGTATGTTTTCATTACATCGAGTCTTGACTATGCAATATCCTTGCTTGTCGGCCTCCCCAACTCCTCCCTCCATAACCTGCAGATCATCCAGAACTCTGCAGCCCATGTCCTCTCCCATACTCGGCTCCGTGACCCTATTACCCCCATCCTCGCCCAACTTCACTGGCTTTCCATCACACAGAGGATACAGTTCAAGATCCTGGTCCTCACCTTCAAAGCCCTCCATGGTCTTGCTCCCACCTACCTTTGCGACCTCCTAACCCACTACTATCCTGCTCGCTCCCTCCGCTCGGCAGGCTCCGGCCTGCTTCACGTCCCCTGCCTCGCTCGCCCCACTATTGGCGGGCGGGCCTTCGTCACTCTGTCCCCACCCTCTGAAACTCCATCCTGCAGTCCCTCCGCCTCACCCCCTCCCTCGCCACCTTCAAGACCCTCCTCTTCAACCGTGCATTCAATCTTCCTGCTTCCCCCCCTGCCCTCCACCCTCCCAGACCCCAACCCCCAGCTCAGGTTCGAAACTCTGTCTGTCCAGCGCCTTGGGACGTCCTCCCGACAGGAAAGGCTCTATACAAATGTAATTTTGTTGTTGTCGTTGTTGTTGTTTTGGATCAATGATTCTCTTCAAGATCTTATTTTCTTAATAACGGATAGTAATAGTTTGGTCTTGGACTGATATTATGAGAGCTTCTATTTTGGCTTTCAGATCCCTATTAGTCAACCAGTTGTAGTTTTGATTCATATCTAGGCCTTGTGGAAGTTCACCATGCATGATTTTCTTTATTATTAATAATATGCTATTGCAGTTTAGATTACTCCCTAGAGGTATTTTCTAAGTGTTTTCCAGTGATGGGTCAATCAGACCAATAGAGTCCTGTAGCTCAGTGGTTACACCACTCGCCTCGCAAGTGAGAAACCTGGGTTTGATTTCCAGCAGGGCAAACCCTTGGGCATGTTTCCTTACTCCACCGTCTCTCGAATGAAAAGGCCTTTTAGTGGGTTGCAGTTGATATTATTGTTTGTTTCTCTCATGACTTTCATTGTTTCTTGCTCTTTGTTGCTTATGGTCCTCTTGCTCTTCAATAAAATTAACTGAATATTTATATCATATAAAGATTTATAAAGTGTACTGAGTGCAATTTGTTTCAAAGCTGATAAAAATATGTTTTCCTCATTTAAAGATTGAAAAAAGTGAATGCTACGTGACTGAATTCAAAGATCAACTTAAACAACTTCAGCAACAATACAGCGATACTCTGGAGGAAAACGGACGCTTACAAGCCAGGCTTGAAGCCCGGTTGATAACTACTCAGAGCGAACAAGACGTGCTTTCAAATGAAGTAATCTATTTTTAAAATTGTTTATTTTAAATATTCAGATGTGAAAAGATTTTTATATTTGTTTTTAATTATCTACAGGTCTCTTATAAGGATGACATAATCCATAAACTGAGAATGCAACAAATTAAACAAGATGAAAAATTAAATTTAGCGGATGAAAAGGCAAGTCTTTTTGACAATGTACTTTGTTATTCCAAGCAATTAATATTTGAACATATTTTCATTTTAAAATGCATCTCAAATTATTAGTAGATTTATTGGAATTAAGAAAAAGAATGCAGCACCAAGACCAGTGTTCCCGAACCCTAGTGAATGCCAAAGGAAGGAGACATTAGCACCTGTCCAATATCGATTCAAAAGGAAGATCTTCCAAAGTGAAGGTTGTTTCAAATACTCTATTTCTAGGGATTGGCCAGAACCAGCCCTGAAGTAGATGGCCCATAGCCAGCTATAGTTCCCATTATTGTCTTAGAGGCCACTGGAGATTTGATCACACCAAATCCTGAAGATGAGTGTCAGCCTGGTTTAGCTGGAAGCACTCCGGCCTCTGAGTCAGAAGGCTGGTGGGTTCAGTTCCCATGTCGGGAATACGAGTTCATAGTCTAGGTTAACACTCAATTGCAGTACTTGTGGGAGGTGCTGTCCTTCAGATTAGATGTTAAATCGAGGTGCCTATTTGGGGACTGTTACGTGGGCAATAGAGATCCCATTGCATCATTCGAAAAGAGAGGGAAGTTCCTCCCAGTGATCAAGCCAACAATCCACCAGATGTTCACTCTGTGGCTGTTTGTAGGACATTGCCATTTGCAAATTGATTGCTGTGATCGCCTACAAAATACACAGTGATTACACTTTACAGTAAATCCTATAAGGCTCTTTGAGACACTTTGGCACTGTGATAAAGCACTATATCAAATTCAATAATTATTATTATAATAATAACAAGATTACATTTGTATAGCGTCTTTCACGTTGGGAGGACGTGCCAAGGCGCTGGACAGAGTACAGCATTTCAGACCCGAGCTGGGATTGGGGGGGTAAGGGAGGGGAGGGGAAGTGGGGTGGCCGATGGCATGGTCGAAGAGGAGGGTCTTGAGGCGGGACGTGAAGGAGGCTAAGGAGGGGGCAAGGCGGAGTGACTGAGGGATGGAATTCCAGAGTTTGGGGGCAGAGTGGCTGAAGGCTCTCCCGCCAATGGTGGGACTGGTGGATCGGGGAACGTGGAGCAGGCCAGAGCCGGCTGAGCAGAGGGAATGGTAGGGGGTTAACAGGTCGCAGAGGTAGGATGGGGGAAGGTCATGGAGGGCTTTTTGTATGTGAGGACCAGGATCTTGAACTGGATCCTCTGAAGTATAGGGACCCAGTGGAGTCGGGCAAGAGTGGGGGAGATGGGATCACGGAGTTTGGTGCAGGAGAGGACACGGGCTGCAGAGTTCTGGGTTATCTGCAGCCTGTGGAGGGAGGAGTTGGGAAGGCGAACAAGCAGGGAGTTTGCATAGTCGAGCCTGGAGGTGATGAAGGCATGAACAAGAGTTTCAGGGGCCTGAGGGGTGAGGTAGTGGCGGAGTCGGGTGATGTTACGGAGGTGAGGGAAGGCAGAGCGGGTCATGGCTTGAATGTGGGGGAGAAAAGAAGTTGAGGGTCGAACAAGACACCTAGGTTCCTGACTTGCTTGGTGAGTTGTAGTGAGTTGTAGTTGTAGAGGTGCTGAGGCGCTGGCACGAGCCAATCAGGAGGGCCTCAGTCTTGCTCACATTCACCTGTAGGAAATTTGCCGTCATCCAGGACTTGATGTCCGACAGGCAGTCTGTCAGGACAGCAGTGGTCCTGGAGTTGAGTTTGGAGGCAGAAAGATAGAGTAGGGTATCATCCGCATACATGTGGAAGTTGACCCCATGTTTGCAGATGATGTCACCAAGAAGAAGAGGAGCCAATCATGATGGTGGTGATGAAGTTGATGATGTCACCAAGAAGAAGAGGAGAATATGTTTCTTATTCCCCAAGGCGCAACCAAGAATTATTTGATTCTCTCACCAACAGGGATGTCTGGAGTAAATGTGGCACCCTGATTGCTATGCCCAAAGAATTGAACCATTGCTACAGATCTTTCATAGGTTACCCCTTTGTGAATCTCCAATGCTGTATAATGTAGGGAAGTGCAAAGTCATCCACCTAGGTAGCAAAAACAGTAGAGCGGGTTATTTTTTTAGAAGGGGAGAGATTGGAATGTGTTAGCGTCCAGAGGGACTTGGGTGTCCTTGTACACCAATCACAGAAAGTTAGTCTGCAGGTGCAGCAGCAATTAGGAAGGCGAACGGTATGTTAGCATTCATTATGAAAGGATTAGAGTATAAGAGTAGGGAAGTCTTGCTGCAACTGTATAGGGCCCTGCTGAGACCACACCTGGAATACTATGTCCAGTTTTGGTCTCCTCATTTAAGGAAGGATGTACTTGCCTTGGAGGGGGTGCAGCGTAGATTTACTAGGTTAGTACCGGGGATGAAGGGGTTGAGTTACGAGGATAGGCTGACCAATTTGGGCCTATATTCTCTAGAATGTAGAAGAATTAGAGGGGATCTTAGAGGGCATATAGAAGAATTAGAGGGGAATTAGAGAAACCTATAAGATCATCAAAGGGCATGATAGAGTAGATAGTGGGAGATTGTTTCCCCTGGTTGGAGAAACTAAAACCAGGATCACAACCTTAAAATCAAAGGCCAGCCCTTTCGCACTAAGTTGAGGAAGAACTTCTTCACTCAAAGCGTGGTGAATGTATGGAACTCACTACCCCAAAGGGCTGTTGACGCTCAGTTCTTGAACATATTATTGCAAGGGATTAAGGGATATGGGGATAAGGCAGGGTCAGGTTATTAGCTGGAGTTAGATTAGAAGATCAGCCATGATTGAATGGCGGGGCAGGCTCAAAGGGCCGAATGGCCTACTGCTGCTCCTACATATTATGTTATGTCCTGTCTTCCTCTTTTTGGGCTGTCGCTAAGATAGTTTGGAGAATATTTTTTAGTGTAAAGCAAATGTCTATTTGAGAAGAAGCATTTGGTTTTCTTTGGAAGTAAAGACGAGAAGTAAAGTGATAATTGCTTTAAAAATGGTATACCAATGATTTTTTCAGCTTAAATATTTTTACATTACTAAAACCTCTTAAGCAGTTAAAGTACTTAATCATTACTGTCACAGTTAGTCAGTCAAAAGTTTAAACATGCTTTTGGTATTTTTGTGTGTTTATTCAGAACTCCATGAGACAACTGTTTTGGTTGGATCGTCTTATAGTTGATTAGGTCATTCTGGTTTGTCTTTTTAAGGTGACGTGAATATGTGAATGTGGACCTTGTAACTAAAGAGCTTTTTGAACCTCATTTTAGGTGCAACATCAAGAAAAATTACTCGATCAATTGCATCAGAAATATTTGGCTGGAGTGAGTAAAGTTGAAAATCAAGAGGAGATGATTTATTCCCTGGAGCAGCAACTTGAAACTGTAAGAATTGCAGAAAGGGAAATTGTTGCTAGGGTAAAATTATATTTTATAATTATATCAAAATTATTTTCACATCCAGAAACTATGAAGTGCAAGCAAGTCACATCAGAGTTATTGCATTTTAAGAAAATAAGAATTTGCTAGGTGAAAGAGGCCCAAGGTCCATCCAGTTTGCTTTCCACCATTGTGGCAGTCGCTTGGCATGTTCTGTCCCAAACTATATATTGTACAGTTTTATAATTATATTGCCGATAACATTGTCAACCTTATGAGAGGGTACTAAAATTATTAAAGGAAACTTTTGTACATGTTGCAATCCATCCCATTATTGTTTTTTTTAAAATTACCTTCTGTTTACAAAACAATGCCCAAAGAAATCTGATCTTCTGTATATATTATTCCTTTGAGTTCTAGGCAGATGCATCTATTTCTGAATCTCTGAAATAGTTATGCCTCGTAGCATTGATGCTTCAGTTGAGTTACCAAAATCAATAATTAGCAGCTGGACATTATTAAAAAGAATTGTTGTTAAACAAATCTTTGTCACAATATTAAAGTCTTTGGTTAAGAAAAGATTTAATTCTCTTACCACATATTTCTACTTATTCAAACCGCGTACTGTATCATTACATGTGCCCAAAGGCTAGGCTAGTTTGACAAGCAATCTTTGTTGAACTCCTTTAGCTTGGTTCCATTGGCATCCCAGTTTAAGATAAATGTATCCTTCCCTTAAAATGAAACATGTTACTCCCATGTGATACTGTGATTTTTTTTGAATGAAAATCAAAAAGAGAATGACACCAAAACAGCTGAGTTGCTTGAGCAGCCATGATACTTCAAACTATAGAGATATCTGACTAACTTTAGAAGGATTACCTTAACATACCTAAACCGTGCATGCTTCTACAATAATCGTAATCTTTATTTACTTATGTGACTCTGTTTATTTGAAGCTAATGTAAATGCATGTTATTTATATAGTCAAATTGAGGTTTTGTCTGCTTGTTTGGGTGTTCATTAAAGATTCTATTGCACTATTCAAAAAGAAAAGGGATTTTATCCTGGTTTCCTGGCCCACAATCCCCCATATACAGTTGGTTATTCACTTCAAGGCTCCATGTGGTATGTTGCTTTAGACAAAATGGCTGCCGCACTAACTGCAAAAATACAGTCATTACACTTTAAGACATCTTGATGCATGATAATGCGCTATACCAAAGGCAATGATTATAATGATATGCATACAATGAATGGTTTGATATATACAGTTATGTTATAACTCAAGTTAACTTTCTGCTAAGTTGATACTTTATGGATTTGAGATCAGTGTTAGTTTGCAGATACCCTTTCTGATGCAAGTTAATATTCTGTCAACAGGCAGCTCAGCAGGAAGAAGCCATTAAACACTTGCAATCAGAATTATCTGGTTTACGTTCTGCACGTGAATTGGACAGAAAGACCATGGTCCTCAAGGAACAGCTCATTAAAGAGCTGCAGCAAGAGCATGATGCGTTGAAGCAGAAATTGAAGGAAGTGATGTTCAAGGTGTGATATTTCAGAAGGACCTATATTTCAATAAGTCTTGGCCCTTTGTTGAGGTTTAGAAACTTGAATTACAGATGTAGTTGTTGAGATGTGAATCTTTCTCAAATTCCAGTTTCTTTGGAAACAACTGGAGAGTTTTCAAGCTGCACAATCAAAGCCTGTAGGCCATTTGAGGAATTTCTTTTAAGTGGCTGCTTAAACAGAATTTTTTAGAATGAAAAGGCCTTTTAGAATGAAAAGTATCAGTCTTATCTTGTCTGAGGGTGCCTTCATCTCAAGGGCTAAGCATCTGTACAATAGGGAGGGCTTCAGCTTTCTGAGAGAGCAAGCGACGTGATAATGCCAGATACCTGACATTGCAGAACAAGGACATGGTGGTACTTGCTTCTATCTACAGTTCTTACCTAAACTGTATCAGTGTTTCATTTGATGTAATTTCATCTTTAACCTGGCTACACACAGCTAAGAAATGCTGCTGAATTCTGCTATGGATTCACCGACTGTGCCTTTATAACACTATAAAGCATCTGATATTTTTCCCCAACTGTTTATCATATGGAATCATTTGTGTTGTCAGTGGTTTTTGGTTGTATTTTACTTTGGTGGTAGATATAGGTTGAAATCTTTCTGGAGAAATGAACTTTCTATTTCCATAATTTTGATCAATGAATTAATTCCCAGGATCCAGATTTCAAACATTACCCCTGTATAGTATTGTAACAGGAGGTTATTTGAACCTGAGGTTTAATTTATACAGGAATATTAAAAATAGGTAACTGTATTCAGTCAAAACTTTGGACAATAAAAAGCCATTTAACTATGCTGCACTTTAGATGTCTTTAGTTGGTATCATTTGTGGAGTCCTGTAGCTCAGTGGTTAGAGCACTCGCTTTGCAAGTAAGAGACCTGAGTTCAATTCCAGGCAGGTCAGGGCGAAACCTTGGGCAAGTTTCCACACAGAGCCTAATAATAATCCCTCCAAAAAAACCCCCAAAAAACAATAATAAATTAGTCATTTTCAATCTACAACTGTTTGTGGGACATTGCTGTGTGCAATTGGCTGCCGCGTTTGCCCACAAACATACAGTCAATTCACTTTACACTGTGTTCTGTGAAGCGCTTTGGGACGTCCTCCCGACGTGAAAAGCGCTATATCAAATGCAAGGAATATTATTATTGTTTGAATTATTGCTTACTCACATAATTCACACCTTCACCAAAAGTACTGAGGGTGAAATTGGTAATAATTATCCTGTTATTAGATTTTAGATGTGTTTTTAAATGTGTCATGACTTTATAAGGATTCAAATCTGAAATACAGGATTTACTGATTGTTTTCTGTTTCAGAAACAATGTCAGATATTTGATGCTTACAATACTTGACTTATTTTATTGTCCCTTTTACAATAAGGTGAATATATATTTTTAATCCATGCTGAAGATTACATTAATTAATTAATTGATTGAAGATTAAATGCAAGAATTATTATTACGCCAGCGGTACAGGCAGAGTTATTTACCCTTATAAGGGGAGACATTTATATGGATCTTTTCACAGAAATGTCTTCTACATTCTTCCTTTGAAGATCATACAAAGAGGAGTTGGTGGTTTGAAATCTAGTAAACAAAGGCAGGGGATGTGAAGCAGGCCGGAGCCTGCTGAGCGGAGGGAGCGTGCGGGATGTAAGGGGTTTAGGAGGTCACAGAGATAGGGGGGGAGCAAGACCATGGAGCTTTGAAGGTGAGGACCAGGATCTTGAACTGTATCCTCTGTGTGATGGGAAGCCAGTGGAGTCTGGCGAGGATGGGGGTGATAGGGTCACGGAGCCTGGTGCGGGAGAGGACACAGGCTGCAGAGTTCTGGATGATATGCAACCTATGAGGGACGAGTTGGGGAGGCCGACAAGCAATGAGTTTGCATAGTCAAGCCTCGATGTAATGAGCATGTATGAGGGTTTCGGCGGCCTGCGGTGTGAGACAGTGGCGGAGCTTGGCGATGTTGCATAAGTGGGAGAAGGCAGAGCGGGTTATGGTGCTGATGTGGGATAGAAAGGATAGTTGAGGGTCAAAACAAGATGCCAAGTTTCCGAACTGGCTTAGTAAGGTGGAGTATCCAACCATTAATGGCGATGCTGTCAGCGCCTGAGTTGACAAGGCGCTGATGGGAGCCAATCAGGAGAGCCTCGGGATTGTTGACGTTCAACTGAAGAAAATTAGCTCTCATCCAGGACTTGACGTCTGATAGACATTCAGTCAGGACAGCAATGATCCTAGAGTCAAGGGTGGAGGCGGAGTGATAGAGTTGGGTGTCATCCGCATACACGTGGAAGTTGGCCCTATGTCTGCTGATGATGTCACCAAGAGGGAGCATATAGATGTTGAAGAGGAGGGGACCAAGAACAGAACCCTGAGGAAATCCGCACCAGACGGTGTGGGGGCTAGAGGAGAAACTGTTTGTGGAGATGAAGTGGAGGCAATATGAGAGGTATGATCTGAACCAGTCAAGAACATGTAGTGAGCTTTTAAAATGATTTTCCAAATACGAGTGCACAGAATGGCAGGGAAGTGGAATTTTTATTACAAATACCTGTGGCCTGAAATCTCATAATAAGATTAACTTATTTTCTAACTATATGTCTTTGCTTATTGTTGGTATGTTTCAGTAAGGTATAACTTTAATTTGAAGAATATTTACTCACTTAAATATTTACTGTACTTTACAACTGATTAACTAAATTCTAAAGTATGAATATACACTTTTTGCTTTATCACTTTTAGATGAGCAGTGGTGAGGGACAGGTTAATTCCCTGGGCTTGGAAGTAAACATGCTGAAGACTAGATTAGTGGAAAAGACTGATGAGGCACAAAATCTGGAAGATCAAGTTCTGAAACAGCAGGCGGCCTTGAACAGAGCAAGTGAAAATATCAGAGATACGAGGAAAGCAGCTGGTGATGAGGTAAGAAATGTCATGAATCAGGAAGAATGTGTCTATAAAAAAAGCACATCAGGTGTTAGCGGGGACACAAAGTTAAGAAAGTTCCACAACATGAGCTGGCTTCTGAAATTAGGATTCGATAGTTATAACGATCCACACGACATATAACAACCATGTTTATGCACATTAGATCTTATGTCCATATTAATAAAACATTTTGGCTATCTAAAACTCCCTCCCTCACATGTATCGTTCATTCAACAACAACAACAACAACAACAAGATTCCATTTATAGAGCGCCTTTCACGTCAGGAGGACGTCCCAAGGCGCTGCACAGTTGGGTCATGACCCGAGCAGGGGGGAAATGGTCAGGGTGAGGGGAGGGAAGGGGGAGGAGAGAGAGGGGGGGAAATGGTCAGGGTGAGGGGAAGGAAGGGAGGGAGCGAGGAGGAGGAAGAGAGTCGAGAGGGGAGCTGAAGGCACGGTCAAAGAGAAAGGGTTTGAGACCGGCCTTGAAGGAGGAAAGGGAGGAAGCAAGGCGAAGGCACTGGGGGATGGAGTTCCAGAGCCTGGGGGCTGAGAGGCTGAAGGCCCGACCACCGATAGTAGGGCGGTTGGGGCGGGGGACGTGGAGCAGACCGGAGCCAGAGGAACGGAGGGTACGGGCAGGTAGGTAGGGGGATTAGGTTGGAGAGGTAGGAGGGAGCAAGGCCGTGAATAGGTTGGAGAGGTAGGAGGGAGCAAGGCCGTGAATGGCCTTGTAGGTGAGGATGAGGATCTTGAAATCAATCCTCTGGGGGATGGGGAGCCAGTGGAGGCGAGCGAGGGTGGGAGTGATGTGGTCCCGAAGCCTGGTGCGGGACAGTACACGAGCTGCATTCATATTTACATGACATAAAAAAGAAGATAAATAAGTATTTGGGGCTTGAAAGGTCATAAATAAAGGTCATATTACATTCTTCCAACTTCATAACCACATGAAAAATCTTGGGTTATTATTATTATTATGTTATTAAAACCACAAATGAAAACTGACTTTTAGCATGTTTGCATCATGTTTTAGGCTCATCCTCACAAAAACCTAAAAACAAACTTGTGAATTTTTATATGGAAAATAATATAATTGATTGTTTCAGTATTCCATTAACTTACAAGCAAAATTTGCATTGCTCATATGGTAAATGTTATGTAACAAACGATACCAGTATTAATCATTATTAAAGCAACTATTATATTAGGGATGTCCTAGCATTGGAGAGGGAACAGTAAAGGACATCTAAATGGATAGGTAAAATTAGGCACCGGAGTTCTGATGAGAGGCTGCTGAAGATGGGGCAGTTCTCACTGGAGAAGAGAAGACTCATGGGACGTCTTATTGAAGTAGGTGTTCAAGATCTTAAAAGGTGTAGGTAAAACCCTTATTAGGTAGGTAGAACCCTTATCATTTTGTTTAACATTGTCACAAACTGGATAAGAAGACAGCATGAAGGCCGACCTAAGAAGAGGGAGAGTAAATAGACAGTTTAAATTTATTTTTACAGAGGAGTAGTGAATATGCAAAATAGCTTCCTTGTTGGAGATGGATTGTGTTAGCAAATTTAACTGGGATTTGGATAGTTATTTTATTATGATTTGTTGAATAAATCAATTGAAGGGCAGGAGAGATCGAATTGTGCTTTTGTTAAAACATTTTGAGACCATCAGAATTATCACAATACTCTGTCCTGGTATTCTTAATCAAATTCCTTTTTTTCTTTATGATCAGATAGGCATGCATTATAATGATCATAAACTTCAAATTGTTCTTAGAATAAAAAATAACTTTCATTATCTGTCTTCTGTGAAGACAGACAATGATTTGGATGGTTTCAAGACATCGGTGTTTGTTAAATATAAACGGATCTATTGATAATAAATTATTTCCTTTAATTCTTACTCTTAAATACTTGGGATTACAGATGCATTTAGATCTGCAGTTTTCTTGCAGATTGTGCAATAATTTTGATTTACAATATTTTTCAAATGTTATTAAATACTGAGGAACGTTTTTCAATTTCTTATTTGTATAATGTTCTGTGTTGGTTGCATGCTCAAGAGTTTTACATGATCCCATTCATGTTCAAGACTTTTATCAAGATAAAAAAATCAAACATTTCTTTGGTTTATATTGCCTTTGTCACTACATTTTTTCACAGCATACATAATTCTCATCAGCAGAAAATAGTTTATAAATGCATATAATAATCCACTGATCTCCAATAAACAAGATTTCAATTAGTTTTATTTTTGATTCTGATATACCAAGATTTCCCTCTGAATTATGTAAAATTATTTGGATGGTTACAAGACATCTATGTTTGTTAAATATAAAAATAAGAAGAAATCAGATGTTGAATTCATGCACGTTGCAGACAATACATAGCAACATTGGATGACAGTTCACTATTTAATGAAGGAAGACTTGAAGTAATTAAATCTTGACATACAATTATGAAACATGCAAAGGAACAAACATACAATGTGGTATAGAATGAAGAGGACAGTCTCCAAAAACTTGCATGCTGTTCCATCATCTGCGACCATTCTTCATGAGTGCAGGGTGAAGGTCAAGGAGCTATCTTAACTCCATCAATCCTGTGGACAGTTACAAATGACCTTTCACTTTCCATAAGACATTCAATATTCTGAATTGGAGAGATACATTTTTCTGTGTTTAGAAAATGGGGAAATAAAAGCCTTTCATGCTGTTAAGGGTACAGTTATTGCAGGATCTTCTGAACGGTTCATTCACCCTGTGTGCTGATTGAAACTAATATCTCATTTACACCGACTGACTCACATTCTGAAAAATTGCATTTCTAAACTTGTTATTGAAACCATAGGTAAGCTTTCAGCATATAGAGTGGGTTATTAGTCACTACATCAGACATGTTATCATTCTAAATATAAATAGGGTTTTTCCTACATATTTTACATCTATGCTGAGTTGAAACATTCAAAGATAAAAATGCAGTCTTTAGTGCTGCAGTGGTTGATTTTTAACATTCATGTACAAAGCATATCATGCTATAACAGGTTCAAGTGCTTCAGATGCAAGACTGAAAAAGAAAAAAGTAAATCTTGCTGAATTATCCACGATTTTGTTTTATAGATTATTCAGAAAGAGAGCAAACTGGGTGTTTTGGAACAAGAAATAGTGGAGGCACAAAAGCAATATTCTGCATGTTATGAAGAGGTAATGCTATGAATAATTAACTTTTAGAACCTTTCTGATGAATTATTGGTATTGGGCATTTTACATTATTATAAAATGACATTTATGCACAATTGCCACGTTTTAAGATTTTGTGCTGGAAACACAAACGGCCTTGGATAGGACACGCTATCATAAGTATTATTCATTGTATTTACATTATCCTTCAGATTGCATTTTGTGTGCAGACTCAGGTCCTTGCGCAATAGACCACTTTGAAAATAATGGAACTTAAATGAACTGCCCAATATTCTTTGAGCGGCGACAGAGGGAGAATGTTTATAGTAGTTATTTCATTTAATATGTATAAACAGTCTTTACTTTTTCATTTTATTTAATTGAATGGAACACAGTTTGTGCTTTTGATGTATTGCTGTATTAATAAGGCTAAATAACCTCAATTATTTGATGAGAAAGTGATTTTGCACCTTAATAGATTAAGAAACCAAAAAGCTTTCAAACACAGCTGCATTATGTGCTAAATATGCTCCAGTAACTTTACAAACCAAACCAAACCAGGGATGAAATGTGATCTTGGAGACAAATTGCAATGTCCTTTTATGAATATTATAAGTAACATAAGTAAAGTACTGTTTTTTGTGCATATATGGAACATATGGTCAGTTTTGTTGGCTTGTGTTAATCATAAATGTGAATATATTGAAAAGGATAAAATAAGGCTAAATAGATAAGGTTGAAGAGCAGAATGTTTTTCTAACCAATGCATAACAAGTTTGGAGCATTTGGCACTGGGTATAATTAGTTGGTCAAAATCCTACAAAAGGTACAGATAAATAATTAAACCCATTTAATTTGATTCTAAGACAACATCCACCTTACAGTATTTCCATTCTTAGTTGGTTAAACGTTAGTAGTACTGCAACACACATTCTGGTGTACCCAAGCCTTGGCTCCAGCCAACCTGTTGGTATTACACTGCTAGTATTACATCCCGAGCACTTGAGGAAGAAACTAAAGATCACCACGATCGGGATATATAATGCTCCAATCCCGGTCACTAAAATTCAACCACTTTGGTCCTTGTTAGCCATCAAGCATGTTTCTGTGGAAAGCAAAAAAAAATTGATGCTCATTACTTTGTGATTCCTACACAACAGAAGGATGTTGCCCTATTCTAAACCTTAAATAATTGAATGAGTTCCTTAAAGGAGAGGCAAGTAGCTATCTAGCTTTATCTTGTATTTGCTGACTCCCTGGCCAGTCTGATCCTGACAAAGTTAAGCGGCATGCCACATAAGGCCCATTCACTATGTGGGCCAGTTTTAAGCATGTGCTATTAGTGGACATTTGTAAGACAGCTAGAAGTAATCTTTGCATTGTCACAAAGCATTAGTGTTTGAGTTAGACTGCAAAGAGAAGCCTGCGATTTGGCAGAGCCATGCTAGTATCTGCCTTGATCTCTAAGAAAACAGGTCATTTTTCCAGAAGAGGTATTTTGGGAGGATTATCCATGGAATGTGGATAATGATGGACAAGAATAGAGATATAGTGCTCACCTTTATTATTCCTCATGGTTTGAATTAATCTCTCCATGCAACCTATTTTTCATTCTTGTCCTTGCTGAACCTTACGCAGAAGCTTCAGCTTAAAAGTCTTAAATGCCTTTAATGAGATTTTCCCATGTACTGTACATTCTGTCTTCAACCATGGTTTGTGAAGGATAACTTCATTTGAAGTTTGAGGAACACTAACCTAAAGGTGCATAATCTAGGCCTGCTGATAATTGGATGAAGTGCTGATTACATCCCTTGTGTTTTCACAAGAAATGCAATACTACAAGTTGGCTGTGAAACTGCTTAATCATATAAATAGACATGCCAGGAGGGAGAGTGCAGCTCATTTTAATATTCCTTCCAATGTCACTGAAATGGGAGCACTTTCACTGACACATTACAAGGGTTTATTTTCATATACTGGCATATTACTATATAGTGCCATGGAAGGTGCTTCGTCAAAACAAATCTGATTGCTTATTAATGGAGATGTAAAACAGCAGACAGGTACAGACACTTCATCACAGAATCTATGAACTTAGACTCCGTCTTCTCTTGATACATTACATAATATGATGCTATCGCTGAAGAATCAGCCTATCGTTGAATAAGGTAGAACTCCAGATGTCTTCCTGGAAGTCGACAGTCATTGGTTGCATTCAAAACAACGTCTCAATTTCACATCTTTTTTTCATAATTTTCATAGTATAGCTTCAACAAATGACAATTCGAAAACATGCAATATCAAATAAGATTTGAGGATACTATGGGCCTGCTGTAAGGTTTAATGAAGATGCAAGTATAGAATATAATCTTAGAATACTACAAGGATCCCTTATCTTGATGATTTTGAGAAAAAGAGATATACACCATAACTGAAAAAGCTAATTTTCTCACTCCCCACTCACTCTCCACAGGGTTAAACTTGCCTAAATTGTCTAGAAAAGCATTTTATTAGGGTATCCCTGAAATAGTGATAATGTCACCATCAATACAGCCTGTCATCAGAAAGCCTGTCTAGGTCTGACCTGTGTCGAGTCAGGACAGCAGTTACAATCCTGCAACAAGCCTCACCATCACCTGGTCTCAGGAAAATATAAGCAATTGTTCCTGGCATAATTATCTTGTGACCATAGTGGGAAATACTTGTTTGTGAAAGGTAAGTAGGTTAAATGGGTTAGGAAACACCTGCAATTGCAGGTGCACACTGAACAATGACTGAAGAATAAGAGAGCAGTTGGTGTCAGCTGACACTTATTATAAGATCTTCCCCACTGTTCATTCTGAGCCTTATTTTAAAGCCAAGTATTTCTTATTTCTTTTGCAGAGGCAATTTTATTGTCTCTCACTTTTTTGCATAATTTGTCATTACTTACTACTTAAATTTCAATACTTCTCATTATTTTATGGTATTTTCCATGAAATTGTGCTTCAATTGAAATCAGAATTTTGAGTGATTTTCTACTTCTAGTTATTCAGTTTAGCACTTCTTATATGGGAATGCCATAGTTTGTGTCTCTATCTCGGAGTGGAGATACAAGGAGATTCTAGGAAAAGAGGGTATACATTTATAAAATTATAATAAAGCGGGGGAATTAAAACAGAAGGGGAAAGGGGAAGATGTTATTTTTTACCCAGAGGGCTATCAGAATATGGAATGATTAGAATAGATCTAAACATTTGAAAGGGAGTTATATAGTCACATGCAAATAATAATAATAATAATAATCCTTGCATTTTATATGACGCCTTACGAAGTCTTCAAGCTGTCGCAAAACACTTCACAGAATATACTATAAAATGAATTGATTGTATATTTTGTGGGCGAAACGCAGCAGCCAATTGCACACAGCAGTGTCCCACAAAGCAGTCAAGGATTGAGTAACAAAATATATTTTTGTATTTTTTTTTTGAAGGGATTATTATCCCCAGAAAAGCGATCCATCAATCGATTAACAGCCGGATTCCTACTTACTGCTAGGTGAACAGAGGCGTGTGGAGTAAGGAAACTTGCCCAACATTTCCCCCTGCCAGGAATAAAACCCAAGTCTCTCGCTTCTGAGACGAGTGCTCTAACCACTGAGCTATAGGACTCCCCTTAGCTCAGTGAAATGAAGAGATTATGGAGGAAAAAAGAATTGGAATGCCTTCTTTTGAGAAGCAAACATAGCCATGATTACAATGGATTGAATGGTCTTCTATGATATAGAGTTTGAGGTTCTCAAGACAACAACAACAACAAAATTACATTTGTATATCGCCTTTCATGTCGGGAGGATGTCCCAAGGTGCTGGACGGACAGAGATACGGACCTGAGCTGAGGGTCGGGGTGGGAGAGGGCAGGGGGGGGAAGCAGGGAGATTGAAAGCACGTTTTTTTTGACAGTTGGGAAAAACATTGTGGATATCCATGCATTAATCTTAAATTGGTGATCCAACCTGAAGAGAAGATTCGTAACGATACTGTCTTTGAATAGAAATGTTACAATTTTATTTTAGCATCTCTGATGTGGTATTGCAAATTTAATATTGGCAAGGACACCACTTTCTGAGAAACTATATAGTGTCATACAACTGAAGGTGCTCAGTTCATGCAACCGGCTTTTTTATTGCTTTCCATAGATTGTGAAGCTATACTGACTAGCTCACCCCACACTAAATGTACTCTGTGCTTACAGACAACGTTGGTCCTCTGGGTAACCTCAGCTGCACCCTCAAGCAGGTCCTCCCAGCTCGCAGGAGAAGCCTGCTGCATCCAGCCATCAGGAGATAATTTGCAGGCAGACCTGGACTTTAGCTGCAGGCTTCTCGTTCTGCACAGCTGGATTTCAAATGTAATTGCCGGCTGCAGGAATTATTGCCGATTTCCCTGTCAATCAGATTCCGAATCAGTGTGTTTATGCTGGCATCTGATTAGCTGCCTGTGAGGCGCGCTTGGCAGTGCCACATCTGGAGCACTAGCAAGCTTGACCAAAAATATCACGCAGACTGTCTGAGGTGATCAGATCCACGCAAATCGAGTCACAACATGCTTTACGCCTTTTTTCACGCTGGGGTCAGAATAGACTTTATGGAATTGCTTGGAGCTGTGTTGTGTTTGTTGCACATCATTAGAGCTTACCAGCTTTGGAGTCGTTATTGTTTACTGCTTTCTTTTAGTGCTTTGCTGCTTCCCTGGGTCTCACTGCAGTGTTTTCCGGACTCCAAACTGTAAACTGGCCTCAAAACAAAGCTAGGATGCAGCAGCTGCAAAAAGTCAAATGATGCCAACTTTGTTTTTAAAAAAAATGCAGCACATTAACATATTTGTTGGTGCCTTAAACCCTTCTTTTTTCAAACCCTTCTCCTCTTTTCAGCTGATTTCAAACTGTGTATCTTCAAAGAATAACAATGGTTACTTAAGAATATTGAGCCAAAATAGTGAAATAAACCTGCCACTTTATAAATCACTGGTGCGACCGCACTTAGAATAATGTGTGCAGTTATGGTCACTGCAATATAAAAAGGATATTGCAGCGATTGAGAGGATACAGAGGAGGGCAACCAAAATGATAGAGGGGATGGAGGGACTGGACTATGAGGAGTGATAGATAAACTGGGCATGTTCATGCTGGAGAAGAGAAGGTTGAGGGGCAATATGATTATGGTCTTTATAAGATTCTGAAGGGAATCGATAATGTAGACAATGTTTTATCTTGTCCTAAATAGTAGAATCAGAGGACATGGCCTGTAATTGAAGGGGGGTAAATTCAGAACAAATTTACAGAAACACTACTTCAGTGAGTGTGTCGTAAACTTATGGAACAGGCTCTCCAGGGAGACAGTGGAAACAGAAAATGTCATTTGTTTCAAGAACAAATTAATAGATTTCTACTAGAAAATAATATCTCGGGATGCAGTATATAGTTGGAGACACAATATATCAAGCGACTGCCAGGGTGGTAGAGGCGAGCAAGATGGACCTTGGTCTTCTTTTGCCTAGCAAATTCTTATGTTCTTATAAGAATATGTTCCCAACCATTCTGCCTTTTTATCAAAGTTAAAGTCTAAATGATAATAAATATATTTTTATAAACTCTCATTAACAAATTTTGGGTAGGAGGAGAGCATCATGCCTTCCCATCCAATTTCCTACAAATTTCTTCATTGTATCTATCTCAAAATCAAACACCCTGAATTATTTTATTTAACTGGTCAAGGTTTTCTTTGATTTGTTCCGTCATCTGTGCTAGTAGTTCGTTCCACAGGTAAATCACATTTATCTGAATGAAAAGATGTATTTCCTTTCTTCGTTTTTGTCTTTATTTTGAAGGCATGACCTCCTTGTCCTTTGACTTTTGTCCACTGCGGAAGTAGATCACAAATGTATTGAACAATTTCTTCCTAGATTAAAACTCAGTTTTGCAACAGCTAGTTATAGCTAGAGATATTGGTGGTTCAAAGGGGAAAATTATCTCCAGTATTTTTAGCATTAAATTTAAGAACATGGAACAGTACAGCACAGAGCTATAGAGTTACAGGGGCAATCTTATCACAAATATCAAGTTGTTTTTTTTACTCAGAGGGTAATTAATGACTGGAACAGGTTACCAGAAAGGGTGGTTGAGGCCAGGACACTGGACTTATTTGAAAAACAGCTTGATGCTGTGATGGGAGGACAGTAGAGAACATATCCTGGAGGGATGGGATCAGATGAGCCAAAGGGCATTCTTCATCCTAACCAATCTTCTGTTTGCAATTAGGCCATTCCTTGATGGAATTTGTGTCTGTGTTAACTGGGAAGTAGAAGCCACAATTGAGTAGTGCTGTACAAGTTTTAAGTGTATTTACGATATAGTAGTATTTTAAACCTTAGATAAACAGTTTTATAGAAGGAATTCAGAAAATAATTGAGCTTAATGTTTTAATGATTTTAATGATATGAATCGAAAGACTAATTTTTCAATGTATTATAAACAGTTTCTAAATGTTTGAAAATAAGTTTTTGTTTTTAAAAAATGCGTAAAATCTTATCAGGCTGAGACCCAGGAATGCTTCTATTTTGAGTCTTTCGTATTTTTCACATTTTGCATTATCACAAACATTTTTAATAAATATGCTGGATGTAATGCCCTCTCCCTTGCCCTTCCATGTCAATAGTAGGGCAATAACTCTTGAAATGTTTCCATACATACATTTAAACACAAAATTGTATTTTATGTTGGTATTCTAAGTTTAGAATTCATAGGAGTGACTATATGATTTGAAATTATGTTTTTGTGGTTCTAAATGATTTGCTTCTGCTAATAGTTGCTTCACAGAGAAAATCTCATGCAGAAACTGAAAGAAGAAACAGTGAAGCTAACAGAGCAAATGAAACAGGATTCCCAGGACTTCAACAAGCTCAGCACCGAAAAGCAAAAACTAGAACTGGAGATGGTGGTTGTCATGGAGAAGCATAGAACAGCTCAGCAAGAGGTACAACGCAGACAGGTCAACACAAATAGAAAGTGTGGCTGTCATTCGTTTACATGTTTATGAATATTGTTTAATTGTTTAATCAGCAATGAACTATGGCATATACAGTAAACTACTTATAACACGTCACTCCAAGGGTGGAAAAAGGGTTCAGTGACAAGTTATTTAGAATGGCGAGTTCGGCATATGTAAAAAATACTTAAATGTAGCCTGGATATTGACAGCGTGATGACTTAAAATGATAGTGACAAATTGAGCTAAGGTTGAGTTATCAGGACTTTACTGTATATAAATCAGTTAATGTAGTTTCATGCTTATTTTTATCTGCATAGCTGCTTAAATGTTGTACCTGTTGTGGAGTCCTGTAGCTCAGTGGTTAGAGCACTCCCTTTGCAAGTGAGAGACCCGAGTTCAATTCCAGGCAGGTCAGGGCGAAACCTTGGGCAAGTTTCCTTACTCCACACGCCTAATAATAATCCCTCCAAAACAAAACAATAATAAATTGGTCATTTTCAATCTACGACTGTTTGTGGGACATTGCTGTGCGCAATTGGGCGCGTTCGCCCACAAATATACAGTCAATTCACTTTACAGTCTATTCTGTGAAGCACTTTGGGACGTCCTCCCGACGTGAAAAGCGCTATATCAAATGCAAGGATTATTATTATTATTATTATAATTATATTATGTTTGTACAATGTCATTTTCCATCCTAAGAGGTAAAAAAAAAATTACCTCATTCAAAGACCAAAACTTGGACAAAGTCCTGTATTCTGTGTTGGAAATTTCCAAGGCGATAACAACAACTTGCATTTTTATGGCACCCTTCATGCAGAGTAGCAGCTGGAACATTTAACAGTGGCTTGTCGCCTGGTCATAAGTCGGAGGGGGATGACCATAGCACAATCGAAGAAAAAGCTCTTCAGGTGTGATCTGAAGACGGGCAAGGTGGAGGGATTGAGTTAATAATAATAATCCTTGCATTTGATATAGCGCCTTATCACATTTTCGAGATGTCTCAAAGCGCTTAACAAATATGCTGTAAAGTGAATTAACTATATTTTTGGGGTGAAACGGGGCAGCCAATTGCGCACAACAGTGTCCCACAAACAGTCGTGGATTGAGTGACCAATTTTTTTAAAGAAATTATTACCCCCAAAAAGCAATCTGCCAATTGATTAACAAATGGATTCCTACTTACTGTGGAGTAAGAAAACTTGCCCAACATTTCATCCTGCCCCAAATTGAACCCAGGTCTCTCGCTTGCGAGGCGAGTGTTCTAACCACTCAACTACAGTCCTGTGGAGTCCTGTAGCTCAGTGGTTAGAGCACTCGCTTTGCAAGCGAGAGACCTGAGTTCAATTCCAGGCAGGGCGAAACCCTGGGCAAGTTTCCTTACTCCACACAGAGCCTAATAATAATCCCTCCATAAAACCAAAAACAATAATAAATTGGTCATTTTCAATCTACGACTGTTTGTGGGACATTGCTGTGCGCAATTGGCTGCCGCGTTCGCCCACAAATATACAGTCAATTCACTTTACAGTGTGTTCTGTGAAGCGCTTTGGGACATCCTCCCGACGTGAAAAGCGCTATATCAAATGCAAGGATTATTATTATTATTATTATTACAGTTGGTTAAATGAATCATCAGAGAGTTGAAAAAGAACTTTTTTTTAATAAGTATCTGACATATGCAAGAAGGTAACAATGGGATGTGGTGTAGAAAATAATAATGATAATCATGTCAAACTCTGAAAAACAAATCTTAGAAAAACGTAGCCAGTAGTCAGGGTGGTGTATTTAGGTCTGTGTCAGTACAAGGTTGAATTCTAACCAAGAACTAAAATTATTTTTGCAGTTTGCAGGGTTAAATTCTGTTGATCAAAGATATAACTACTAATTTTTTAATCCCGTTTTCATAATAATTGCAATGGAAAGCTGCTTATTCTCATAACCAGTGTGATATTGTTTTGATTCTCAGGTTAATAGCAGGAATCAGGTGATTTTAAAACTGAAGACTGACCTGAAAACTGCGCAAGAGAAGTACATGGGTTCACAAGAAGAAGTAAGCATTTTTAAAACTCTTTATTCCATCTCCTCTTGTAGTTCAATAGAAATCAGCCACCACAGGAGAGGAAAACTATAATTCCACCTACTTAGTACATTACCGTATAGTTTAGTACCATATAGCAAACAGTTTTGTGTTGTTTTCCAATGGCTAACTCTGAAGGCCATTGTCACTAGCAGTTGTGTTAATTGTCTCTTATATTTTAATCATTTCTGTTTTGTAGTCTTTTAAAGCATTTTTTTGTGAAATTGTGGAAATGTCTAACATCCCTTCCTGAAAGTATGATCAAACAAATAAATTCCATGTTAAGATTGTTGTTGGCCAATATCACATGGATTTACAGTTCTGGATATTTCATCACACAGATGAAAAAATATTGCATTTTTAACGACATGATATCTTGTAGTTGTCTTCACAAAAATGTAACACTACAAATGATGATGATTTAGGCCACCATGCATTCAGGTATTTGTGTCTGATCCATATGTTACCAACAAAGCATTTGGGAACATTACTTGTGTTTTGGCTTATTGCAGGGTCTAAAGACAGAGAAAGATCTTAGCCTGTGCAATTTGATGATGTACCAGGGAGGTTCAGAACTTTATACATTCTTAGTTGATAAAGGTTTTGGTCTATAGGAAAGGTTGGTGTGAACGGTTTGAGCTTTTGTGACGACAGCCAGAGGTGGAAGTAGAAGCCCTAACTTGTGAGACACATTAGAACATTCCACTCTATAATTTAATACTGACAAATATTGAAATTATGTCCTTATATAAATTTTTTATAGAATGCAATGGAAACTGGTTATCTGTTGAACTTTTCTTTATTCATTCAGCGTGCAATTAAAAATAGCTATTCCAACAAATGTTGCATCTTGGTGTCCAGGATATTTTTAGCCGCTCTCATCTTCCACCATCCAGATCTGAAATATGTTTTTGGTTATTTTTCTTTCATGTCTATAATATCACACAAAAAGTTATCACTGTTTACCTGCTTACATTTTCCTAGATAGAAGTTTTAAATTCTCTCTGTCCCTCATGGTGAAGAATGTTTTTTTTAATTGTATTGTTATATTTTAGTTTTTAGCTCAGACTAAATATAACTGCACACTGATCCTATTTTGGATTCATTGGTCAAAATAGAAGGCAACAAAGTAATCACATAAATACAGATACTGAAAAAAATATAGTCAGATAACATAAACTGCATATCTATATTTCATGATGGCTAAGTGTATCCTACAATTAATCTGTTCAAATAACTTATGCAGTAAGTAAGACCATTAAGTATGAAACTTGAAAAATCTAAGTAGATAGTTGTTTTTTATGTAATGCAGTGTAAGTTATGTAAATGATTTGTGTTTACAAACAGCTTGCAGTTCAGGAGGCAGAGCTCAACAGACTTAACCAGAAACTGAAAGCTCTGCAGAATGAACTGCATGAACTGAAAGATACATGCAGTGAACAGGAAGATCAGCTGACCCAGGCTAGAACATCAGTTCAGCAACTGGAGCATGAACGAGAGATTCTCATGGAAGAAGTAGGTACAAGCAAATAAAGATTAAGTTATAGAACATGTAATTTACTGAACTAAGTGTAAGTAGGATCTTAGTGAAGAAAGATACTCAAGAGTCATTTATTTTTGTAAAATGCATTGTGCATCAAAATGTTAATTCTTAAATGGCAGAATTTTATTTTGTAAAGACTATTGCATATTTCACAAAATGCACTTTTTTTGTTTTAGATACAAAACAATTTGAAAAACGTAGCACAATTACACAACAATCTGGATGTCACAAAACAGGCTCATAATACTGACTTAGAGCGGTGGTCACAGAAGATCTCTCTTCTGCAAAAGGAGCTGAATTCAAACGCAATTGAGCTACAGGATAGTCTTGGGAAAATACAGGAGTACAAGACTATGGGGGTGGAGTTGAAAGAAAACTTGGAAAAAACTGAGCAACTTCACCTTGAGGCTATGAACATGGTAATATGATCAAACATTTTAAATGTATAGTAACTACTAGTAAGTAGCTTTGATAAAATGCAATGATTGAATATTTTTAAAATGCTAGTGATGAATACATTTGTAAGTTAAACCTCAAGAAGACAAGAATATAAGAATTTGCTAGTCGAAAGAAGACACCAAGGTCCATCTAGTTCACCTTCCACTACCCTGGCAGTCGCTTGACACCCGTCCCAAACTATACATTATCCCGAGATATTATTTTCTAGCAGAAATCTCTCAAATTTGTTCTTGAAACAAACAACACTTTTTTGCTCCCACTGTCTCACGAGGGAGTCTGTTCCATAAGTTCGCTCACTGAAATAGTGTTTCCGCAGATTTGTTCTGAATTTACCCTCACTTCAATCGCAGGCCTTGTCCTCTGGTTCTTCTGTTCAGTACAAGATAAAACCTTTATTTGATACATCATTCTGTTACCTTGTTTTGTAGTATACGTTACTGATGGTGACCCATTTTTAAACTTTGGATTTAATGGGAATGAAAGAAAACTAGGAGGATCTTTATAGGTACACGTCTTGGGATTCTTGGTACTCAAATTTATCTCTAACTATTTGTCAAAACTCTGGCAGTTATCAGCGAGCACCATTTATGGTATCCGAGAAAAGAGTTGATCTATCTTGGTTAGGAAATAGATATTTCTGATTTAAGAGCAGGAAAGACTTCTCAGCCCAAATTGCTCTGATACTGTTTTATTTTTGCACTATTGCTATGCAGTCCATTATTGGAACACATGTGGTGCAATCTGTATAGAACTATTACAGTGATATGTTTTAATAAAATCAAGTTAATGTAAACTCTATTTATATTAAGGATCCGTCAATGATACAAGCATTGAAGCTGACAGCAAATCTTTAAGATAAAATATCACTTTTGATTTCTTAGTAACCCACACTTGATGGACTGGTTGCTGCATATCGAAAACATAAACTAGAGACTTTCATCTTGCAGTTTTTATCAGTACATCTATTAGTGGCATTGATGCTGAGGGGATGAGAAATGAACAAATGTGTTGTCTAGCTGAGCAGTTGAAACCTATAGATAGGCTGCTATATAGGCTCCTATACAACAACAACTTCCATTTATATAGTGCCCTTCATGTGGGGTAGCGACCCAAACCCATTATAGTTTCCTATATAGATAGGAAACTTTCTATCACCTCACACTCACCTTTCGAGAACATCTATAGTCATTGAGTAACTTATCAGCACAAAATAAAAGCACTTAAAAGTTTTCTAAAATAACTGTTTGAAATGTATATAAGGCAAGCCTACTTTTGGTTTGTGGACTGTGAGTGCTTGCTTAGTGGGATACTGGATCTTCGCTGAACAAAAAAACTTAAAGTGGACATCCTGTACTGACAATTGAATTTTGGGAGCTGGATGGCCAATGTATGGCACGGCTCCTCTGATTACACATTGTGAAGAATATTGGGAGTCCACCTCCAGGCCTTTCGATAAGATTAATAATTCAAGGGCTACAAATTTCACCCCATGTTGTTTATTTGTTTTTATTAGGTTGATCAACATGAAAAGACCATTCAAAAACAGAATTCTGAAATTGGATGTTTAAGGCAGCATATGAGCCTCTTGCAAGATAAGGTAACAGAAAGTCAGAATCAGACAAAAGTCTCTGAATCAACAGCAGATGTCTTCAAACAGAAATATCAAGCAAACACAGATAGAGTACAAGAACTGGAGAAACTCGTGCAGAACCTTGAAGACGATTTAAAAGATTCCAGTACTCAGGTAACTGATCTTTTATTGGTGATTTTTGTTTGGCTGTTAAATGAAATTATCACTCGTGATTATTTAAAGTTTCTGAAGGGATGTAATATGTAAAATTATGCAGTTGTACTGTTGATTATTTGCACATTTTTGCTAGTATTTGCACATTTTTGATTTGCTCATTGTTTTGGTTCACTCATGCCATGCACCTTTGAAGAGAATAAGAATCCTGTAAGCTTGCTTCAAGATCTCTATTCATGATGTTTTCTAAACATTAACAAAGAATTGACATATATATTGAAAATCTGCCCCAAACCATTGTCATTATTCAGAAATCAGGTAAACCAATACACTGTACACTTTCTATGCATGTTCCTGTTTGAAACAAAAAATGCTGATGGCAACATCAGTGGTAAATCGTGTACTAGACCAGTTATGACACTTGCCATAGAATGTATGTTTCAGACGATGACAGGAAAATAAGAGGAGATTATTTAAATCTTCAAAACAATTTTTCTGCATTATTACTGGACATTTATTGTACTTTTTAATATTGTACATAAGAATGGAAATATTGGGAAATTAACTATGAGGCAATAAATCTGTTGATGTGGTATTTAATGAGACATTTATGTTTAAATACAATAATTGCTTTGAAAATTAAGGTCTTATTCTCTGAACTTGGTATTGATAGATCTTTGAGGTGAACGAGACACTCCACAATTTAAAAGATGAAATGCTGACCTTGCAACGTCGATATGAAGAAAAGTGCAGCCAAGTGGACACTTGTGAAGAAATGATTGATCAACTGACTGAAGAGTTGAATGCTTGTCAGGAGAGCCGTAAAAATAACCAGGAGCACATTCAGCAGTGTGAACAGATAATCCAGAGATTGAAAGACGAGGCAATGAAGATGCAAAGAGAGGTCTGGATCAAAAATTACATTACTGAATTTTTATTGGGCATGAAGTCAAGTAATGTTGATATTACATAAACAATTGAAGACTGGAAAGGAAGCTCAATATAAATATTTCTAACACAGGGAAATAAATAGGTGTTAATTTGCCACTGAAGTTCAGGTCAGGTTACTTGAAGTTTGAAACTGCAAAATGAGTGGAACTACAGATTTTGTAACTCTCACTTTTAAAAGAATAACAGTTTCTGAGCAAAAATCTAAGTACCTTTTCAGATTGATTTTGTTGAAATCTTTTAATAATACTAACGTTTAATACGTTTACACAGATATCAGAAAAAGAGGAGGTAGCAATACTTCTTCAGTCAGAATTGGCATTTTATCGAGACAACCATGGTCATTCCAATGAGGAGTATGATTCACAGAATTCACATATTCAACACTTGCAAAAGGTAATTAACTTTTGTGTATATTCAGAGGCCTAAAATTCCAATGACCAATCTTATCTGGGGGATTGTTGGCCAGGACACAAGGATAAATCCTTCTTTTTTCGAGTAGTGCCATGGGATCTTTAATTTCCAGCTGAACAGGCAGAGGGGACTCTGTTTAATAACTCATCAGCATCTCCAATAATGCAACACACCCACAGGGCTGCTTTGGAGTGCCAGCTCCATAGCTTTGAACTATGAGTTTAAAGTTTCCAACGTGGGGCTTCAACTCACGATGTTCTGACTCAGAGACAAGACTGCTACCAACTGAGCTTTTGATTTTTTATGAGTCTTAAGTAAGTACAATGTTAATACATTAGCTACTGAATTGATGAGCTATTTTGGTTATGGGTTGTTCTATTATACTACCATGTTATAACACCCTCATATCTATAATAAAACAACTAAAACATCTATTACAAAAAAGGGAAAATATTCAGCAAGCTGTAGTTATCCACTAAAAAAGGTTCTTAGTATTGTGAACAACTATTTGTCAATAGTATTTAGAACAGCTATTTGATAATAGTATTGTAAAAAACTATATTTTAGAGAACCTTTCCTCGGGAAATTAAATTAGTTGAACAGCATTGATGACAATTAGAAATGTTCCATGAAAGGAATGGACCTGAAGGTCAAATGAACTTTTCTTATCCTTTACTTCTTTTTGTCTGGTGATTATTAGGAACTTGAATCAATGAGAAATGACTACAATGAGAAAAATAGTCAAGTCAAAGACTGTGAACAAACCATCCTAGATCTCAAAGCTGAGTTAAACAGCTCTGCTGATCAACAAAAGAATTGTATACTTGAAGTGGAAAGGCTTGAGAAAACGTTGCAGACAATTCAGTTGAATGTAGCAGCTTCCCAGCAAAAGTTCAAGTTGGAGGTGGCAGGGCTGGAACAACAAATTACCCAGCTTGAAAGTGACCTCACAGAATCCCGAAAAGTATGTATCCAAAATAATCGGGTTTGTGACATCTTCATTAATGATGAGGGTTGACAATGTCTGAAATCATGATTTACTGATATTTGCCTAAGTTCACTCAAAGAAAATAGTTCCACTTAACAAAATTGTTGCTTTTAAAAAAAACAGTTGTGCTTCATATTAAGTAAATTTTAAGATAAAATACAGTGATGTCCTGAAACACCTCCGCAGAACATACATTCTCTTAAATAATAAAAATATCCAAGGATACAACTGTGCAGTTATTTTTTGTGGCTCATGTTAACCAAGGCTTTAAATGCCAAAGCATAACATAGACCATGCTTCAGGAAGAAGTAGACCATTCCTCTATCTTCTGGACTGTCCATCCAAACATTAGACTTTTGGAGTTCCCAAAAAAGAGCTAGATTTCCCAAAAGTTTATTTCAATATAATTACCATTCAAATCCTTCAGAATTGTCAGCACATCTCATGCATGCAGAGCACTTGGACTTGAATGTAACTTAAGAACATAAGAATTGCAAAATGAAAGAAGACCAAGGTCCATCCAGTTCACATTCTACCATCCTGGCACATGTCATGTCCCAAACTATATATTGTATCCCAAGATATCATTTCCTGAAGTAGAACATAAAAGGTACAATTGAATTAAAAGTACAGAATATGGACCTACAGAACATAAGAACTTCAATTGCACAACATAATTATAAATAGAATCAACCACTTTGTGAACATCGCAGATTCACTATGGAGTGCTGTAGAGTAGTGGTTAGAGTGCTCATCTCGAAAGCAAGAGGAACTGGGTTTGATTTATATAACATTTGACAATTTTCCTCACCACCTCTGTTTACTTAGCAGTAAGTAGAAACCTGGTTGTTAGGCGATTGTTGGATCGCTTTCCCTTCAAAAAATAATTAATAATAATTTGATCACTCAATCCACAACTGTTTGTGGGGCAATACTATGCGCAATTGGCTACCGAGTTTCGCCCTGAAAGTATACAATATATTCACTTTACAGTATATTGTGTGAAGCGATTTGAGACGTCTCAAAGAGATGCAAGGATTATTATTATATTATATATAATATATTATTTATATATTATATATAATATAGTATGTGTGTATATATATAATATATATAGTATCTCAAGATTGAAAGAGTGGTTTTAAACCACTTGATCTTCCCTCTCATGTTTTATGACATCATCTAAGCTGCTTGATTAGGTTAGTGACTTGTAATCACTCCTTGGTATAGATTTTCTCTATATCATTTGATGAAACTAAGTTGGGAAATACGAAATATAATTTTGTCATGAATAAAGACTGATGTACTGTCAGGTCTTCTTCGTTCATGGAATAAATTCTCTTATCCACAATCTTTTATCAAAGCTCCTCTGTTGTATGTTTGTAAATTTAAGTCACTGGCACAAATTTGATATTTTTACAAAATAATGTTATCCCCTCATGACTTTTAGATTGCCACATGCATCATTTAGTATAATCTAGTGCATCACATAGCAGCCTGAATTCTATAGCAGACTACCTGTGTTTATTTTGCATTGCTCATAATTGTTGGGAGTCATCCATATTCTGTATTTTTAATTCACATATATATTTATACCATATGTGCTTTAGTTTTGTTGAGTTTTTTTTGCACTGTTATTCTATTTGCATGTTTTTGAGGAGCGCTAATTTTTGTGTCATAGTTATTTTATTCTACAGTGAAGCAAATCATCATGACTCAGAATATAAATGGCTGTTATTTTCATGTGGTTTTGCCAGTTTCGTAATGGCATGCTGGTGCCACAGATATTCCGAGTTTGCAGATAGATTCACCCGTCAGGAATTATACATTGTTGCATTTATTTTATTGATTAGTCTGATACTCATTGCTCTCAGAGACGCATTTAATAAGCAAATGTTGTTTGATGAGTTACAAGAGGGTTTAGAGTACCAGACTGAAGTAATTATGCCCTGTTGGTGGACCCATTCCCCAATAGATTAGAAAGAAGAACATAAGCTACAAGAACTTTACACACTGGATTTCAATTTAGGACATTTAAAGTAATAAATATAAATATTTTTCTGCACTAATGCACATCCCTGTACATGTAGGGGTTGGTACTAAATGGATTGCAGAAGCAATAATACTGCTACTGCAAATAATTAATCCTTGCATTTAATATTACGCTTTTCTTTCTTACTGGGAGGACATCTCAAAGCACAGTATTTACTGTAAAGTGTAGTGAATGTGTATTTGTGGCATTGCATGGTATTTCTCCCACAAAATATACAATCAATTTACTTTACAGTATATTCTGTGAAGCACTTTGCAATGTCTCGAAGAGGTGATAAGGCACTATATCAGATGCAAGGATGATTATTATTTATCTCCTCCAACCACTTGTTTACCAAGGTTCTACCATCTGCATTAGTAGTTGATGCTTCTCCTGTAACTAATCGAACAAAAGGGTCAATTTGAACCTTTTACTTTTGCATTATAAAGCATAAAGTCTAAGATTAGTTCTATAGAGGTATCTCCCACTGCTTTGCTACCTTTTCCATGTATTCTCAAATTCTTGTTTTTATTCTGGGTTGTAGGCCATGTTCAAATCGTTTCAATGAAAAGTGTTATTCGTCTTTCATAACCAGTCCCAATTAATTTCAACTTTTTTACTGTTTAATGTTACTAGATATTCCCAACTCTTCCTTAATCCAATGAACCTCCTTCTATCAAAGTTTGAGGCATCACTGATGCTGTTGATATTTTTTTCAGCTATTTAAAAAGTCATTGTGAATATTACTGAAAGCCAATTGAGGTTTCTCAATTATATTCATTAATGTTATATTACAATTCATACAAGAGGTTGACTTTTGTGTGTGTAATATGTAATAATATATATAATATATAATATGAAAAGTAGGTCTAGGTGACTATCAATGTTTTAAATTGTCTGAAAAAATTCCTGAAAAGGCTATTTATTGCTGCAGGTATTTTCTAAAATCATCAAAAGACTTTTAAATGCAGTGATTATTGTTAGCACCAGAAAAGCGGTTGTTAATAAAATGGCACACTTCCACCTTGTATATGACCCTACCACTAATAAGCCTCTGAAAGCCCTCAGTGTTCCATGGCATGACATAGCAGGGTTCTGTATAAAAACAAGTTAAAGCAATGAAACTGCTCTTGTCTTTACAGGCTATATGTAAAAGGGATGACCTCCTGAGGAAATCAGAGACTGATCTCCTACAGGCTCGTGAAAGTATCAAAGTGAAAGTGGCAGAGGTGGAAAATCTGGAAACCATAGCCAAGAGCCTGAAAGTGGAGATCCAGGGCTATCAAAAGAATAAGAGACAAATTGAAAAGGAAAATACAACACTGAGGAGAGAATTTCAGCATCTAAACCAGGAGCTGCAGGATGTCCATAGGCAATACAGAGAGACTGGTAAGAGTGGAAAGAAGTTTTCTTGTATAAAAACACACAAAAAATTGACAGTACAAGTTGTGGCACCTTTCTGTTAATGTAAAGGATGTGTGAACACCAGAACACAATAATCCTTGGACTTTGATATAGTGATATAGTGCTTTTCACGTCTTCTAGACGTCTCAAAGCGCTTCACAGAATAGACTGTAATGTGAATTAACTGTATGTATATTTGTGGGAGAAACGCTGCAGCCAAAAATATTAGTTTCCCCGCTTTTCCCTAAGATAAATAATAATACTAATGATTCTTGCATTTGATATAACACCTTATTACGTCTTCAAGACTAACTATCTAACTAAATTCAGCCAATTTTATGTAGCTCTGATCTTTTAGTATCAATTTTAATTATAATGAAAAAAAGCTATATGTCAGAAGCAGCTTGGGTTAAAGTAAACTTAAAAGAAGAGTTTTAAAATGTATTTATTCCCTTGTTGTACTGTTCACAATTTGTTCCAGGCTTTGTGGGAGACATAGACAATGAAATAGCTGTGATTGCTGAATTCTAGCAAAATACAATCTTTATTGTCCCATCCAAACATGTTGGCAAATGATTGAGAAAAGATGCAACACAAAACATGGCAAGAAATCAAAATCTGCACACTTTAAACCAGTGGCGTGCATTGCTAGTAATCATATTGTAGTTACAATATTTTATATTCCAAATTATTTTACATAACATACAGATAAATTATAACAATATCCTGTAACTACTTTGAAAATTGCAAAGCACCCGTGGCAGTTCAGCCTGAGAAGGCATCTACAAATATGACAATTTTACTTTCTCAACAAAGCCATTTGCATTCTTCATTTTAATAAAGTCATCTTTATACACCAGTTATAGCAAACTGAATCTTAATTAGCTTTGGAATGTACAAACTGACAAAAGTACATTTTATGAGCTAGTTCTTTTTCTAAAAGGGACAGGTTGGTATGAATACTTTATGTAATCACTTGTCTTAGCAGCCTTTGATTGTAGCAATACCCTGCTGTGCATATATTTCTTCTGTCAATCCATTAATTATAAAATGATGAAGAATGTTCAGACTTGTCAAAACAAAACATACATTGTCAAGCTGTATTGTTACTGTAGTTTTGCAGATCCACACTGCATTTATAAAGCAAGATTTTACAGTGCTACCTGATAAATACTATGAAATCAAAACATTGCCAGGTCGGGTGTTCTATAACTCTTATCCGCTTCAAGGTGACCTTGGGTCAATAGAGTTCAAACTGTTTGCGAGACATAACATTGTATTTTCAGCACAAGATACTTAAGTTAACAGTTAATTCAACTGAATAACACATAAATGATAAAATCCGAGTCTGTTTTATCTACTTAAGTATATAATTTGTATAAATGTTGCATTCCTTTGATTTTGGAACTTGTTTCGTTAATTGAGGCATTGCTTTGTGCTTCACTTTGTAGCTAAATATAGTGTGTTTCATAACCTATGGAAATTGGCAGAGCTTTCTCTCACAAGCTGAAATAGGTGAGGCAATGACCAAGTTAGGGTCTGTCTGTGATCTTTGAAACGAGACATTTCATGAGCAATTTGCTGTCTGCATGCTCTACTTATTAAATTATTGATTAATTTCAGTTGATGAAAATTGAATAATGAAATAAATTGAGGATCCAACTTTTGTTTATGTGCTCAACTCCAAGATAAACAATGTGGTGCTTAAAATATTTTGAAATAGCATCTTGTAGGAATTGTATTGCAGGCTCTTGATTCTGCACAAAGCACCAATTAATGTTGTGGGATGGTGCCATAGAAGACAGAAGAGAGTAGAGTTGGGCACTGCCTTTGTTTTTGATTGCTGAGCTTTGGAAGGTATCTATTACATCAATTGTCCAGTAAGTGCAGGACTGTTCCATTGGCCTGTGCAAGCAGACTAAATTTCTCAGGCTTTGAGTGGTCAGAAAACATGGCAGTCCTCTTTTGGTCAGGAAAGATGGTAGTCTTCTTTCAGCAGTCTTGCTCCCCCCTATCTCTCCGATCTCCTAACCCAATATCAGCCTGTCTGCTCCCTCTGCTCGGCGGCCACCGGCCTGTTTCAGGTCCCCCGCGCTTCCCACCCCACTATTGGTTGTCGGGCATTCAGCATCTCTGCCCCGACAGTCTGGAACTCTATCCTGCAATCTCTTCGCCTCACCCCCCACCCTTACCTCCTTCAACTCCCGTCTAAAGACCTTCGTCTTCGACCGTGTCTTCAGCCATCCTCTCACCCCCACCCCGCCTACCCTCCACCCCACCTGACCCCAACTCCCAGCTCGGGTCCAAAGAACTCTGATTGTCCAGCCCCCCTCGGCACGTCTTTCCGACGTGAAGGGCCCTAAACAAGAGTAATTTTTTGTCGTTTGGAACTTTTTCAAACCAACAACAACTTGCATTTTATATAGCGCCCCTCAAGCGTCCCAGAGCACTTGATAGTGGTGGAGCACAACACAGCATTGCTTCTTGTACACACTGTTGCATATTGTCAATCACTCAGTATGCTGACATTTAAGTTGTGTTCTCTTGGTGACTGGGTGTTGCTGAGAATATTGAGTACTATATTTTAAGCCATATTGCCAGGACGTCAAATGGAGATGTTCAGAATATATTGCTGAGAATCCTTTGTATGAGAACAGAAATACATTGTTGGACAGTTGGATAAACAATTTAAGGCCTTATTCTGCTCCTTTTGCTAAGTGTAACAAATTGTTTGATGCCAAAAGCGCATTTTAAACGAAGCCGTACAATTGAGCAGCAGTATAACGTGTTGCTGCCATCTTTAAATGTTGATGTATGTACATAATATTGACTTAATGTACATTTAAAACAGTGAACTTGGTGCTTATATAGTTTAGTGCATTCATTATGTTTGCAAGTTGTGGCTTCAAACAAAATGTATTAAATCAATAGCAGTAGATATGTCAAATCTGTCGCACTTATTTTACAACTAATGTTGCCAGAAGTTCATGAAGAGTTTTGTGTATCTGAATGTGTATTTTAACATTTGGATTACCAGACTGCATGCTTAACTGATGAAATTCAAAATTTGGTGTTATAATAAAACACTTATAATGCCATTACTTTAATATGAATTCATTTTAATTTATTTGTAATAACCAATACAAGATATTTAGATACTTAATTAGAACTACCTACACTATATAAATGTACATCACGTTTTAGATTCTCTATACAGTATATGTATAGCACATTAAAACTCACATAGGTCTGATCTGTGTAAATCATATAATAGCTTAAATCGTATATCTGCCCTAGTCTCATTCAAGGGTATATATTCTATGTAAGTTTGACACAACTCATACTTTTTCATAAGTCATATTAAATGTATGGTCCCAACTGATACAAATTCTGTGAGGTTTACTGCATATTTTATATTCTGCGCAGTATATGAAATATGATTTTTATGGTTTTTTTGCTTAAATCCATCAACATCTAATTGTGATATGATAATTTATTTGTCAATTCCAGAATGTGTTTAGACTAAAAAGAGCCTCATTTGACTGATCTGAACTTTTTTNCTCTGTAATAGCACTTACCAACATCGTTCACATTTTTTTTATATCTAGGGGTCGATTGCAATTTTTCTCCAGTGCCAGCATATCATTGCAGATAAGTGTATTACATGGGTTATTGATCCAAAATTGTTGTGGACAGGAAAGTTTTGTTGAAAAAGGATTATATTTTCCTTTTATTGTTTCTAATATACAAACGCAGCTTTTGTGTACGTTACCTGTGAAAAAGGCAAGGTGAAAACATCTAAGAAATTACCTCTTTACAAGAATCTATTGATCACTTTAAATCAAAAGAATATGTTTGACATAAGATTACCTGCCATCTTGCACATTAGGTACATTGTGTTATAGCCTGGGGCTGTTGTACGTCTGCCAAAGGGATGTAAATAAAGCATGCAGCTGCTGATGCCTTGCCGCACTACCAACTAGAACTGAGAAAATTAAGATAAACTTGGTTAATATGTGGGTTAAGGTTGTTAATCTGTACTTCACATCTTTTGTTAGTTTTTGTGTAAATTTGTGTGCCTACTAACCAGGATTGACACTATTATTTTGATTGTTTCTTTTTTTATGTAAAAGATCTCATGGTGTATAAGAAAATTCTGTCAAGAAAAGGCAGTATTTCTGCTTTCTCTGCTTTATTTTTTTTAGAAAAAAAAGTCTTGTATCTGAGAAGTTACCGAGAAGTTTTAAGAATGATTCTAAAGATTTCTATATTATGTTTACAAAGAAACGTTAATCCTTTAACAAGCTTTTTTACTGTGAACCCTTTTTCTTTGTCTTTAATGAAGATGAATCTTAAATGTTTGTACTGTGTTAAATATTTAGTAATCCATAGCAGTTATATGATTTCCTAAGGCACACGTTTAAACATTTCTTTTACCGCAAACTGATAAATTAGTCATTGCTGCTGTGCAATCATTAGTTTTATGTTTTGTCCCACAACAAAAATCTTGCAAATGCCTTCAAAACAGTTGTTTGATGGGTATTCCTTTCCACATTTACTACTTTTCTATGTTTGTTTCTCTTGTGTCAAATAATGAAGTTCCCCCTTACAGATTTGTTTCTATGTTTTCTTTAAAACTATGATTAGTAAAACATTGGCATTTATTATCCACCATATGTAAATGTAGCTTTTGGTTTTTTGTCAATTGCATAATTTAAAAAATCTGTTCATAGTTTGTTAGTTATAGATTTAAGGGGGACTGTCATTCCCTCTCTATACATGGTAAATTAATAGACCTCAGTTATAGAAATGGTGATTGTTCATTGTATTTGTTTAGACATTATTTTTATAGAATCATAATATATTACAGCACAGAAGGAGGCCATTCGGGCCATCGTACCTGTGCTGACTCTTTGAAAGAGCTACCCAATTAGTCCCTCCCCTGCTCTTTCCCCATATTCTTGCAAGTTTTTCCTTTTCAAGTACTATACCTATCGAATTCCCTTTTGAAAGTTGTTATTGAATCTGTTTCCACCACCCTTTCAGGCAGTACATTCCAAACCATAACAATTCTCTAAAAAAAAATTCTCCTCATATCCCCTCTGGTTGTTTGCCAATTATCTTGAATCTATGTCCCCTGGTTACCGACCCACCTGCCAGTGGAAACAGTTTCTCCCTATCTACTCTTATCAAAACCTCTCATAATTTTGAACACCTCTATTAAATCTCCCCTTAACCTTCTCTGCTCTAAGGATACGTTATAGAAATACAAAGATGTTAAAATGTTTCATTTTGATGTTGTTACATTTCGATCATGGGGGCCTGAGATTTCTGAGTTAACCAATTTTGAAAAATACAGGAATATGTGAATACATGAGAAGCACTTTGAGATATTTCAACAACGTAATAAGGCTCTATATCAAATGCAAGGATTATTATATTATGGGTAGAGTATAGCAAAATCCTTCTCTGGGGTAAATGAACAAAGGGTAGAGGGTCCCGGTATGTAAGTTATTAAAGCTAGTTTGCAGGTGCAGACCACAAATAAGAAGACTAAGGGGATTTGGGGATTTAACATGATAAGAAGCTATATCAAATGCAAGGATTATTATTATTATTACTCACGTCTAAATCCTTGACGGCAGCCATCTGAAGAGCCCGCTGTCATCACAGCCGTGTACGACACTGAAAATGTGCCTTTGAGTTGCAGCCGTCTTCCCTCTCTCTTTCTTTTTATCCCCTCCTCCCCCCAACCCAATATTAAGGCCTATCGTGAAACCTTCCCCCCTCCCCCACCGGCATCCTTTCCAACACTGGCTCTAGAAGTCCATTACTGTCATCCTTTCCTGATTCCAATGGCTCCTTATCCTCCGTTGGATTGAGTTTATGATCTTCATGCTGGAATACATCCACAGCTTTGCTCTAACCCTCTGATCGTCTGCTGCTCTATTCCCCCAGGCACGCCCTTCACTTCTCCAACTTTAGTTTGCTTTATGCTCTCAGTCGCACTTTCAATAGTGAGTTTTTGGCAACTTTTTCCCTGCCCTCTGTAACTGCTGAACCGCCTGAAATCACTTCACCTTGCTCCTTCCTCCCCCCTTTCAAAACCTATCTAATCTTTTTCTTTAATTGTGCCTCTACCACCCTCCCAGCTCAGAATCTCCTTCTGACTTTGTAAAACACTGAGATTTTCTCCCTATGCTGCAGGTTCTATATTTGATTTCTACAGTTATACAGTGTCAGTTAAATCGTATTTGGATTCCGTTTGGATTTCCTATTGCTGGAATGGTATACTGACCTTAGAGGAAATCTACCCAGAAATTACCTTAATAAAGGGACAGCTCTAATACTAAATGTGGTCTTCAAAGGAATAAAGGGAATTGATGACGTAGGTAGGGAACCATGCATCTCAATTAGGAAAATCCAGGACAAAGAGATGTAATATTCTTAAAACTAGAGATAAGATGGTTAGAAATTAATTCATAAAGCATTTCTTCAGACAGAGGCCTATGAGAATATGACATACACTGCCCCAGAAGAGCATATATGTAGAATAAATTGAGATGTTTAAGTGGAGATAGGTAGACACTTTGAATGTAATTTACAAAGAGATGTGGAAAAAAGAAAATGGGATTCAAAAGTTAAAGAGCTGTTAATGAACTGATTAAAAACTCAGAGCAGACTCAATAGACTTAATGGCTTTGGGGGTTTAGGACTATAGAGTCTGAACATGCCTGGGTGTGCCAGCTGACCAGATGAAGCTGAGGTTTGTGGGGAAGGCTGATAGAGGAATATCACTAATTAGTGAATGTCACCCAAATGTCTCAATTCTTCTGCCACTGGGATTTTCCATGCATTCACTGTAGACATCTTGAGAAGCAGTTTGCCGTGTACAACAGTACCAGTTAAACCGGTGGATGTCAGAAGAAAGCAGAGTGGACAACATGGTGCTACAAGGATACACTGAAGGTACACTTGAACCAATGCAACCCTGGCTCCCCGACAGGCGTTAATGGTGTGCTGAAGTGAGAGAATGGGGGTGGGGGGTGCTATCCTTAGAGAAGGACCCCCACCCCCACTCCTTCCCCTGTCAGGAACGTGGGTATGTGAGGTTTATGGTAGAAGATGTCTGTCACTTATCAGCCTGCATAGACATCATTGCACCCATCTACCATGAATTTGTGCTTCCTTCATTGTTGGCAACGTCATCCTCAAGTATGACGGGCACACTACTATTACTATTAACAAATGAAGCAAATTACTACAAAGAGACAGCTGACTGACTGAGTGTTTCAATGCCAGTTGTTCCGTATGTTTTCAATAGGACACTAGCAGGTTTGAATGAACGTATTTCAGTCATAGAATTACTATCTAACATCTTTAGTTTTCCTTTTTGCTACATGCCTTTTGTTTTGTTGCATGTTATAACTTTTATGTGCTGGTTGTATAAGATAGCACAGTAGTGGCCAATCTTTTTTGGTCAACAAACCAAATTAAGTTTTCTTGTTTGAATATTTCTTGATTTATGACAACCCAATAAATATCGTTACTTGGTAGCTACTAGAAACATTGAATATTGAAAATCAAATGCAGACTTGCGTAGACTAGTGAAAATGTTCTGCAGCTACTTCTTAATGCCCTCGTGAGGCAAAAGTGGGCCATGGGTCAGCCACTGCTGAATAGTAGGTGCTCCCCTAGTTGAATGAAAAGCACTGGTGGATGACTGCTTGGCCACTAGACATGCAAGGGGTACAGAAGAAGGACTACTGGTGTTTTACCACACTTGACTTCCTTGTGTGTGAAGAAAGGAAATATCCACCCGCCAACATAATTATCACCGTGGCACGTTATTATACCAACACAGCTCACACAATCTCATTTGAAAATAAAATTCCACACTCCTCAACTGCATTTGTGAATTGATGATTTTCACTTTTACTGTTCAAGTGGCTCATTAGCTGCACCAGAAGTGTGCTCGTTTTTCCAAGCGTGTTGTCATCGAAAGCCATGTTCTCATTAACACTAGTAAAATACATTTCTCACAAAAACATTTAGGAAAGTTAGGTGTTCATGTGATTATGTTAACATTTTATGAAAAAAAGCCCTGTTGAACAGTCTTCTTGTGACCTTAGCGAAACCAAAAAAGGTTTGGGCAAATGTATCTTAAGAATGGTTCAGGGTAAGATGTTGTAAGGGTAAGATTTGTTGTGACCTAGAAAGACAGTGCCATCTGTTGGTTTATTCTAAGTGATGCATTATATACTTGTTCAATCCTTTTTAACCCATTTTGCTTCCTCCAAGCTTGAGCATTCTTTATCCCAAATGATGACAGCTGTAACAACTCCACAGTCTGTCAATACTGCTCAGTCGCCACCCAGTAAATAGATAGCGAACTATGCGGAAACCACTGCCAATTTTCCATTCTTCCATTGTGAAGCAGCTCACTGTATTTGATTCTCATCTGACAACTTGGCCAAGGTGATGCTCATATCACCTCAAAAACCAGAGTTAAAACATAATTAGCTTTCAATGTTACATGTGTATCTGTTCATTTTGTTCACGTGCAATTTGTGTATAATACTGTACCGTAGCCAAATGAAATTTTATTTTCACTTATTAAGTAACTTTGGTATTGAAAATAATGAACATATCTAATTGTAGCTCAAGAGCTTGCAAATCGAGAAGAGAAGCTATGTCTGATGGAGTTGAACTTACAAGCCACTCAGGAGCAACTAAATGACCGAGTATCTGAGATAGTTCGGCAAGAACAGAGTAGACGAAAGTTGAACCTAGAACTGAAAGCACTAAAACAACACATTGACGCTACTGAGGAAGAGATGAAGAAATACAAGTGAGTTATTGCTTCTCACAATTTACTTTTCATTCTGTTGCAATATAAATGTTTAATTGCCATAACTCATTGTTGGCTCAGTGTGTAATTCACTATCTGGTTTAATACTAGCCCAATACTTAACCAAGATCCTAAATTCGATTGTTGGCTACTGAGTTATCTTATCTCATGCCAAGTAACAGTAATTGTCCTTGGTATTCCTGAACTGGAGAGATAGTGGTACTTTGTGGACATTGGCTGAAGTTTACTTGTGATGCCACCAGTCAACTTGCTTATTTATTCTGCCTATCTGGATTCATACTTATATTATCCAGTAGACACTGGACACGGTTGAAGAGATAGGTTTTGGGTGAGACTTGAGAACCTAGAGCGGGCGGGGTTCAGAGATGGAGTTTCAAAGGTTAGGAGCATAGAATTGGAAATCTTGGTCACATTGGTTGGTATGGTTAGAACAGGGGACGGGTTGGCTAATGGGAAGAATGGGGATATAATCACTAACATCAGCAACTAATACGGAGAATGTAGTATGGAACTGTTCTCCTTTTTCGTAACTGCGCTGTGAGAAGTCTGTTTTTATTAATTTAATGTGATTTATTAGAAAATAACAACAACAGTTATAAAATTCATTACAAACTCTAGTGCAGTAAAATTCATTGCCTTGTTTGACAAAAATGAGCAGAAAAATTGATTTGACACCATAAAATGAGTAATCTGGTTCTGAACCCAATAAATGCATCATAATGTGTAAGTCCCAAATGCATAATTTTTACATGTAGATAGGATCCCTATTTCCGTAAATAATTGTACCATTAGTTTAGTAGATTATATATGCAAACATTACATTTTACTTAAATTATGAACATGCACATTTCGATGAATGAGCTTTCAGAAATGATGTTTTAAAAAAAGTTCTAATCCAAAGCTAAGAGTTCTGTTGCACTAAACAGTTCTACAAGGAATTATTGAGGTAAAGTGTGACCATGTGATCTAAAACCTCATCATTGGAATAATTCCACTCCTTGTACTGTGTGTGACAATAGTTAAAGTTTTATTCATAATTTCCAACTGGGGAACTGGAAATCACAATAATTTGTAGCATCGATTGTTTGAGACTGTGGATCTGAGGTCTCTGGTGGAAAAGCAGAAATAGACACTTTATTGATTTACTTTTACAGCCATACTTTCAAGACATAATTTTCACCCCTCATCTTTTTGCACTGTGTACCACGAGAATACTATTCTTCGTTTCAAGTAACTCAGCACTTGTCTACTCAAGGGAAAGAGTATAGACCTTCCTACATTAAATTTCCTTCAGTCACAACCCTTTGAGCGTCGCCTGAGACAATTGCTTTAGATAAGCACACTCGTGTTACAGGTTTTCTCAGCGGTACATTAGTGCAAAGCTTGTTTCTGATCTAGCGCCTCAAGTATGTGAACTTGCAAATTAAAAATAGATAAGGGTCTTTGTAACTCATTTGACTGCATTATTGATTGCTTGAAAAGGCAAAATTACCTAATAGAGACTTGAAAAATAACATTTTTTATTTATTATGATAATCAATACCCAATGAAAGCATTTGCTTAAAATGGGGGGAAAAGATAAAATATTAACATTTATGCCTAGGTTTATGTCTGACGTATAATATTTACACACATTCACTGCTCATAAAAGTGTGATCCCACTGGCAGTAATGCAGTACTTATTATAATAATAACAATAATAATAATAATATAATAATCCTTGCATTTGATATAGCGCTTTCCACTTATTTTTTTCTATTGCCTTAGAAATAATAAGTGTTGCATTATTAGCAATGGAACCACGCTATTACACTACTGTACATTTTTCAATGTATATTAAATCCAACTAGAATTGAATAGGTCATATTGATTGAATACCTATTGTGATTGGGGTAAAGTTCATTTGAATGTCAGACAGTTGTCTTTCTACTTTTGTTTGAGGGGTGAAGGCAGGTTGTGTTCTAGGTTCTTAGCAATCTGCCACTGAAGACGCTTGTACCACTTAGGACATGTGCCCAAACCATTCTCCATGGTGGTTGGGAGATTTTGAGCAGACAGCACAAATGTTTCCTTCTTTCCTTTTTCATGGTCCATTTTCAAACTGTAAGGTGGATTTATGGTAAAAAGGGAAAAGCATCTGCAGGGAGGGTGGACTCCAGCTTACACTTGTTCAGCATTCTGGAAATGGAGATGGTTTCACAGCCAACATATTTCTTTCCCAGCCAGAGAGGACCTAGATTAATAGTTGATCATGAATGCATCTAGTATTATGATTTAGATCTTTGGAACATCAAGATAGCTGGCATGTCACAAGTTGTTATGTATAGGTTCTTCCACCACGCTAGAGGCAGATGTCTATTGAATAGATGATAAGGAAACTGAGGTTTGGGACAACAGCTGTTTATTGGAATCCGTATTTGTGAACACATGCTCATATGTCCGGGGTTTGTTGGCTGCCCCGATTGGTAGAGAGTTAGTATCTGCTGTTGAGAATCTACACCTCTAACCAGAAACCACTTTTCAGTGGTTATGGATGTGTATGTTCAGGATGTGGTTAGGAGAATGGTGGCAATGCTCTCAGATGTTTTATGCTGAGTTGTAACTGAATATAGCATAATCATCAAATTTACAGTGGTTTGTAAATCTTTGGCTGTATCGTCTTTAGTTTTTCTAAGTTCGGGAGCAAATAGCCTTTGCATTTTTAACGTGTTATATGAGGCCATCTTCTTTTTTTGACATCTTGGCGAATCAGTGAAAAGATGGACTGAAAATTGATTTAAATTACCTCATTCCTACTTAATCAGTGGTGTGCACTGGCAGATTATGAAGCAAAATAAAATTGGCTGAAGTTGTGTGTGTGTACCTCAACATCAAATGCAACCAAACACAATAATTTCAATAATTGTATCCAATATCTAGATTGTATGTCCATTATTAAAACGTAATGCCTTTTGAGGCAATGGAGTCTGTTATTGTGTTTTTTTTAAGACAGCACCCGTTTTTCTATCATTTGATAAGAAGAGAAGATAGAATTTTATATGGAAGTCCTCAGCCATATCATATATACCAAGAAGGAGCTATGAAGCAGGACCTTTTTGCAGTATCATACATCAGATAACCCGCAACATCTTTAATGGATTTTTTTTTAAAAGATATCACAAATTAATTTCTAAAACATAATAGGAATATTGGATAAAAGAATAATTTTACTAAGCACTGAAAACTATTGTCTCAATTTTTCTCTCTACTATACTTTTGCCTAGGGAGCTATGGGAGAAGCTGAAAAATGAGCTAAATGTAACAAAGCAAGAGCAGCAGAAAACACTACAGGAAATGTTAAAACACCAGCAAGCAAGCCACAAACTGGAATTAGACCTGGCCAATACCAGAGAGCAGGTGGAAACGTTACAGCAACAGGTATTTGATTTTTAAATATTTACATCCCACAGGAAAAGAAAATCAACACAAACAAATGCATGTTTATGCAGTTTTCTAGCACTGATGCTGAGACAGTGGGGTCTATTTCATGGTATTTATTAAAAATAATAATCCTTGCATTTGATAAAGCGTCTTATCAGGTCTTTGAGATGTCTCAAAGCACTATACTATAAAGTGAATTGACTGTATTTTATGTGGAAAATTTCTCACTATGATACCTTAATAAGGAATCGTGAGTCACACAAATGGGGTCTTCTTTGGTTAATGGGCAATACGTTACACTGACCCGTGGGAACTCCTCTCAAACACAGTCTACTTCTGGAGTGGAGTTTCTCGTGGCTTGAAGGGAATTCTAATGAGATTTCTCATCAAGGGATCAGGGTAAGAAATACTACAAGTGAGATGACTTCGAATATTTTACAGTTTGAACTTGATTTTTAAATGTAATTATGGTTTGGTACGCAGAATTAGTACAATGGCAAAAAAATTCTGATAGATATAACCATTCAATCAATTTTGCAAAATAAGTCAGTGGGGTAGAAAAATAGCAGATTTCATTAATTCATTAATGGTTCAAGAGTTCCTCATTGGGAATCTTGGTGGTAATCAGCAGCAGGTCACAGAGGATTTGCTTGAACTCTGTGGTCTCCTGACACTTTGGCGTTTGTGTCCTGGGAGTTGCTTATTTGAGGTACTGCTAGTTACTGGCAGCATTTTCCATTAACAGTTGCTATTAGTGAATCCAGTTGGGAACCTTCTTTTTTGACCCCATTGTGTAGCAGAACAATAATCACTCTGCCTATATTAATATACCTATACTTATAGTTTTAGGACTAGCTTGTTAATCATTAGAGTTTCAAGGCAGTAGTGTAAAATTTTAGTGCTGTTTCATGGGATACCAGCTTAAAAGAGGTCATTCCAGTGATATGGCAACCTGCAAATTTAGGATATAGCCTTAAAAAAAGACATGTGTTCCTATTTATAATATTTATGTGCACTGTATTTATGTACACGGTGTCTTGTTCGACCCTCAATCGTTAGGCCAATTGAGTCTACTGCGCCATACTTTGTGAAAGAATACTGAGGAATTGCATTAAATTGCGTATACAGTGGGATCTGTTATGCGAGTTGGGCAAAACGTATAATAACCATGTGTATTGAGAGTTACAATGCAGCATCCTCAAGCCTTGGCTCTTGCCAAGCTACATCTACTACTTTCAGGAATTATATAAGCAGGATTTGATACAGCGCCTTATCACATTGTCAGATAGGCTCTCATTCTCCTTCAAGGTCGGTCTGACAGTGCCTTCAGTCATCCTCCCAACCCTCCAGAATCCAACCCCCAGCTCAGGTGCAAGCCCTTTATTATCCAGCGCCTTGGGGCATCTTCCCGAAGTGAATTGCGCTATGTAAATGTAATTTGTTGTTGGCTCACAACTATGTAACTAATTATGTAACCTTCTGAATCTACAACTATTCTCTTATTCCTCATTTAGACTGGTTTCTGTATTGAATCAACAGTATAAGTGGAGTATAAATCAGATTTTAGGGGAATTAATTTGATTCCTAGCCCCCTTCCAAACCAACTTTAGGAGATGGTTTTAGAATAAAATTTATGCCATCAATTGAAGTATATATGCCGTCAAGTGAAGAATTTATGCCATCAATTGAAGTATATATCAGGTTATATTGTAGCCAGTTCCAAGCGTTCTTTTAAACTTATAATATTTAAACAGTTTAAGAAGAGGGTCTTAAGAATTTTAATGTTAATAAATAACTAGTAATGCACTTTTTGCCGTTTAAAAACATTAAGAGATTAACTAGGATAGGCTGGTGGAGGTCTGAGTGTGTACTTGGTTGTTTTCCGCTGCCTCCAACGAGAAGGAAGATAATTAATCCATCTTCCTGTCTTTGCACCCCTGTAAAAGATGTCAACTCACGTCTGCAGTAATAAGGGGAAGGAGTCAATGTACTACCTTTGCAATGTTTTAACTACTCAGAGAATGAGTTGCATATAACTTTCATGTGGCCAGTCATCTTGACAAGAAATCGATCAAGAAATCAGTATTTCCCTTGTATATGTTATTTGTATGGTGTTATGCAATGTTTTCTGCATTTGGTTACATCTATAAAAAAAATCATAGCTTGAGCCTTTGATTATATTAAATAAAAATGAAGTGGCAACTATTGACTTAGTAACAAGCAGACCAAAACTGACTAGGAAATGCTGGTAGAAAACGACAGGCTTATCAGCATTTATATATTTAAAGGCAAAGCCCACTCATTGATTACTTAGTTTAAATCGTATCTGTTAAACCTGATTTATTGCCAAGTTCATGCACTGTACTTCCACAGATAAAATAAGCAGGGTCAGGCAATCAAACTGCTCAAATGGTAGAAGTGGCAATGACTATTGTACTGTGCAAAAATAAATCCATAACACAAATTGCTTTAGTGGAAACTGGATGAGCAGCTGATCTTTGTATTGGATTTCAGACTTTTCTGTGACCACATAGGAAAGAGGAAAGCCTAACCTGTCTAGAGAGGAATTCTTACTTGATCAATATCTAGCAAATTATACCTGGCAGGTTTTTGTTGTGAACTGTTTAAACTGTTAAACATTAGGAAAATCCTAGGTTTGCACATTAAACCGTTAACCCCTTCTGTGACACAAATCTGTTTCTAGCTTGAGTTGGACAAAATCTATCTTGGATGTTGTCAACCTACATTTCTGCTTACACTACTAGGAATTTATGTTTAGTCAATATCGTGTCATAAATGTGTGTCAAACTGTGAATGAAATGTACATAAGGATGGTGTTTTATCAGTAATTAATAGGGGAGTCAAACAACTCATTCTAAGACCATTAATTAACAACCAGTTTTGAACATTTGGGGGTTAACAACTGGAAATGCCCTGAGAGTGAAGTTAATTAGTAAAGTTATTTTTGTTTACTTTTTTTGAGCTACGGTTACACCCATTTCTAACTTCTTCAAAAAGCTATTCTTCATTGTCAAAGCCTGGAAAGTGAGTGTCAGCAGATGATTCACAGAGGACATCATGGTCATGAACTTCTTTTGCCTTCCCAGTGTAGCATCTTCAGTGATGCTTGTTTATAGACACACAAGTGAATTCTAAGCACCCATTGTCAAAGTCATGATCTCAGTAACAAGAGCAATATCACTCTCCCTCCTGTTCGCACAAAGCATCCCGATTCACTGTTCAGAGCACCAGGAACCCCAGCTAATCTTCTTCCCCCTCTATCCCCATTCCTTAGCCCAAATGTCATGAGATTTAAATCTGCACCCCAATGTCTTCTCACATCTAAAATTGTCACTCATTCTCTTGGAATTAATTTGAAATAAGATAATACCAAAAAGAAAGGTACCAGGGAAATACTGAATCAATGAACAGATGCCTTCTGTAATTATTCAGGCGTTGTAATGGTCATAAAGAGCAGCTAAGTGATGTACCAGTGCCATGCACTGAAGATCCAGATGTGCTGAGTGGAAAGGGGACGCTTTGTTTGGTTTCCAGTGAGCAGTATTAGGGTTGTCATGCATATTTGAATGGGAAGGATTCATTTACATTTTGTTATCTGCATACAAAGATGATAGGTAGCCTGCTGTTACTCATGGAAGCAAAAAATGAATGCCCAAGAGTAATAGGATGGCAAGGAGCTAGAAACCACCAAAGTTTTTGTAAGATGGCTCAATTAACTGCATGAACGCGTAGAGCTAATGTAGTTGAAGAGTCTAGACGCACAATTGATAAGGTATGTACTAAATATGGGATGTAGTAAAGAAAGTAACACAGTGAAAAAGGTATAAAAGTGCAAGTTGTACATATGTCATTCTGTAGTGGAAAACCTTATCCCAAAGATATTTAAAACAACAACAACTTGCATTTATGCAGCCCTCGTCATGAAAGATAGCATCTCGGAACCCTAAAAAAAATTGAGTGTATACAATTGCAGTTTCACAAGGATTTTCCAATCGTGTTCATCCACATTTTTGAATTGCTGCTGTTATTCTGTAGTGCATAGACTGTACAAGCATTCAGCTTAGAAACATTTTAGTAAAAGGCATAATAATGAAAGCTTAATAAGTGTCCTACATTCTTTGAAATAAACTGTAATCTGGTAAAAACAAGGGTATGTCATTACATGTAATGTTTCCTAGATATCAGAAAATATTACATCATTAAAAAAATGTGAATGTTCAAAATAAGCATGAACTAAGCAAAGTCTAAGGAATAGTTCACAATGTACAAAATGGAAATAATATCACATCATTTTGTTATTTTCTATAATGTTTCTACTTGGAGTAGGTTTTAATGACCAACATATGAACCATAATAGCACTTGGCCCTCCTCATCGGCCTTCACAACCCTTCACAAGCTACAGATCATCCAAAACTCTGCAGCTCGTGTACTCTCACGCACCAGGCTCCGTGACCCCATCATTCCCACCCTCGCCCGACTCCACTGGCTCCCCATCCCCCAGAGGATCGAGTTCAAGATCCTCGTCCTCACCTTTAAGGCCATCCGTGGCCATGCCCACTCCTACCTCTCTGACCTGCTGACTCCCTACGAACCTGCCCGCTCCCTCCGTTCATCAGGCTCCGGACTGCTCCATGTCTCCCGCCTGACCTGCCCTACCATTGGGGGCCGGGCTTTCAGCCTCTCTGTCCCTACGCTCTGGAACTCCATCCCACGGTCCCTTTGCTTCGCTTCCTCCCTTGCCTCCTTCAAGGTCAGTCTCAAGACCTTTCTCCTCGACCGTGCTTTTGGTCTCCCTCCGACCTCTCTGCCTTCCCTCACCCCTACACCACCACCCCTTCCCCCATTCTCAAGCCCTGTCACCTGAAAGTTCAGCACTTTGGGACGTCCTCCCGACGTGAAAGGCGTTCTATAAATGTAATTTTGTTGTTGTTGTCACTCAAAGTTAACACACCACATTGTATTCTGAAAATTGGATGTTTATGTTAAGATGTGCTCATATCCCATCCTGATTGGCTCCCATCAGCGCCTCCACAACTCAGGCGCTGACAGCATCACCATCCATGGTTGCACACTCCACCTTACTAAGCCAGTCAAGAACCTTGGGGTCTTGTTTGACCCTCAACTATCCTTTCTACCCCACATCTGCGCCATGACCCGCTTTGCCTTCCCCCACCTCCACAACGTCGCCCGGCTCCATCACTGTCTTACTCTACAGCTGCCAAAACCTTCATACGTGCCCTTCATTACATTGAGGCTTAACAGTGCAAACTCACTGCTTGTCGGCCTCCCCAACTCCTCCCTCCACAGGCTGCAGATCATCCAGAACTCTGCAGCCCATATCTTCTCCCGCACCAGGCTCTGTGACCCTATCACCCCCATCCTTGCCCAACTCCACTGGCTTCCCATCACACAGAGGATACAGTTCAAGATCCTGGTCCTCACCTTCAAAGCCCTTCACGGTCTTGCTCCCCCCTACCTCTCCGACCTCGAAACCCCCAATCACCCTGTTCGCTCCCTCCGCTCAGCGGGCTCCGGTATGCTTCATGTCCCCGCCTTGCTCGCCCCTCTATAGGCGGGCGGGCTTTCCGCCACTCTGCACCCACACTCTGGAACTTCATCCCGCAGTCCCTCCGTCTCGCCCCCTCGCTCGGCACCTTCAAGACCCACCTCAAGACCCTTCTCTTCGACCATGCTTTCGATCTCCCTGATTCTCCCCTGCCCTCCACACTCCCCCACCCCGACCCCCAGCTCAGGTTCGTAACTCTGTCTGTCCAAAACCTTGGAATGTCCTCCCGACGTGAAAGGTGCTATGCAAATGTAAGTTTGTTGTTGTTGTTTATTGGTGTTACATTCTGGGAAATGGCAATTGTTATGACGAAACATCAGGTTTAATGAGAAAACATTACAGTAGTTTGTGCTACCATCTAATGTATCACACCACACCAGTATGTAAGAGTTTTAAGCAATGTAGCTCAGCAGAAACTGTTCTGTTTGCAGCTTTTGGGTTGGAAACGATGAACTGAGTTATTATTGGTTGTTCAGTCAATTGCATAACTTTGTTTACAACTTTGATAGAATTTTAGTCAGTCCTGTTCTGATCTCTATTACAGTATTTATTTTTCAATTCCCATTCATCTACATGGATGGAAGAGTCTCAAAGAAGTTCCAGAAACTGCCTTGATGATACAAAATACAACCAGAGGCTTTGACAAAGAAAGAGGGTGCGCTAAGATTTGCAAATATTATTTTGCTAGCTACACTCCCTTAACTTGAAGAACAAGAATATGTATTATCCATTATTATTTCCACCTAATTTTTTGTCTTTCAAAGATTTCCATATTTTGTTGGCATTCCATGCCAATAAGTGCAGTATGACGGAATGGAGATTCAGCTAACCTCACATGTATTCGGATCTTTCTTCGTCACTTTCTGTTTTGTCATTAATATTTTTATGTGCATTGTTTGATACCACTAAAGTGTGTATTTACACACACTAAAGTGTGTGTAAAGTTGGTCAAGTTGAAATGCATGCTGGCTCAATTTTCTGGCACCACGAACATGAAATTTGAAGAAGTTTTGAAGTAATTTAAGGTTTTGGGTGAATATTACTATCTACACTTGATTATACAGATTTGAAGACCTGGACATTTTTGTATAAATTATAATGTGTGCAACGAGTATTCAGTGCATATTGTGGTGTACACATGCTAGCATCCCCACAACTGTTGTGCTGTGCATTACTAACTATAAGTTCCTGTAGCTCAGTGGTTAGAGCACTCGCCTTGCAAGCGAGACACTTGAGTTCAATTCCAGGCAGAGCGAAACCTTGGGCAAGTTTCCTTACTCCACACGCCTAATAATAATCCCTCCAAAACAAAACAATAATAAATTGTTCATTTTCAATCCACGACTGTTTGTGGGACACTGCTGTGCGCAATTGGCTGCCGCATTTCTTCCACAAATAAATGATCAATTAACTTTACAGCATATTCTGTGAAGCGCTTTGAGACATCTAGAAGACGTTAAAAGCGCTATATCAAATGCAAGGATTATTATTATTAATAATGGAATAGAGGAGAATGGGAGAGGGGGTAAGCAGGGGTGGAAGATCATATGGAGTATAAATGGCACAGACAAGTTGGGTTGAATGGTCTGTTTCCATGTTGTAACAGACTATGTAATTCTATGCAATTTCCACATCATCCTATTTTCGATTGTTCTAATGGGAGCACCTGTAACACAAAGCAGAAGTTATTATTCCAAAAAATATAATAATAATCCTTATAATTCTTGCATTTGGTGTAGCACCTTAGCATGTCTTTGAGTCTGTATATTTTGTGGCCGAAACGCGGTTGTCAATTACGCACATTAGTGTCCCATAAACAATCATGAATTGAGTGACCAAATATTATTATTGAAGGGATTATTGTCCCCAAAAAAGCGATCCGCCAATCGACAACCGGGTTCCTACTGACTGCTAGGAAAAGAGAGGCGTGTGGAGAAGGAAACTTGCGAGTGCTCTAACCACTAAGCTACAGGACTCCAAAAAGACAGTTATCCTCTCTTATATTCCGCTCCTACCCCAAGTTTATCGCTAAGTTCAGCAAATTGGTTACTAATCTCAATGTTGTTTATGGAATATTGCTAGCACAAATTAGACGCCATGTTTGCCAATTTAACAATTATTGTTTAATATCTAATGTGTTATATGTTGTAAAGCATTTGACATGCTTGTTTTATGTAAAAGTGCCTCATCACATAATCCGAAAGGTGCAAAATAAATGCTAGTAATTATTATAAGAACGTTTTATATCTTTACCGAGGCAAATAGAAAATAACAGAACAACTGCTAGAGACTCCAGTTGGTTAAAATCAGTGGTCAAGACAGATAATCATCTAATTATGAGGGATTTCCTGATACAAATTGTTGTCATTATTCTTTGAATGTGTTTTGAAATCTGTCGTTGCACTATATTTTCTAAATCCTACACCTGTATAGAGACAATTACAGATAAATATGATTGGGTTGTAAAACAGAATGGTTATTACTGGTTATCAAAAATTCTATATTAAATGATATGGTATCATCAACCATTTATTGGCCTGAGGATATGGCATCAAAAATTACATTTTTCTAAAATTATTTTTTGAGAGCACTGAATAATTAAAACATCCTTTCACACCTGCTCTGTTTTGTGTATAGAAGTTCTTTTCATGTTTTACTTGATCCTTGTTGCATGTAAATATTGCTCCTACTCATATACTCATATTGTTTTCTTTGCAGAGGTTTTTAAACTGATGACTAACAGAACCATTAGATGGAAGTAAGGTTTCCATTTCATGAGGTTCCTAGTTGAAAATAATCTTTGACAGTCTGCATGAGGATATGGCATCAACATTGCTTTACTTTATTCTACTTATTGTATGCCATCTGCATGCATTGTTTGGTGCAACCCACTTTAAATCTTTATGTGATGAGCAACAGAGAAGTGAAAGCCACCAAAAAATAAATGAGGTTTATTGTGTATAGTAGCCAGAGATTTACCACAGCAACATTTGTAAGAATTATGAATTGTTTGAGATCAACATCAGCGGCACATGCTGATATCCACTCCTGCTAATATGTCTGCAAAATCATTTCTTTAGCACTTATTAGCATTCTTCTGCATATTAACAGTTTCTATGTAACATACTGCATACTAGAGTAAATCGGGTTTCATGGTGCATTGCATATTTTTCCTATCATTCACACTACATTATTACACAGTCCGTTATATGTGCTTACCAACCCTTTCATAATGTGTTACAGTGCTATAATGAGCATTAATAATTCATGCCTTTTGCAATAAACAGGAAGGTCGATGTGCCAATGAATTGCTTATGCTGTCTACATTCATTACATTTTGCTTGGTGTTAGTTTATGCGTAGTTCTGCTTGTTAATAGGAGGATAGTACACTGCTGCATATTTTTGAAATTTGAATACATTGTTTCCTGTTCTTCTAGGCAGACCTAGGTTTAAACCTTCTCGAGTGTCTAATGACACTCTTTCAGACATTATTTAATGACTTATATACTTAAACCATTTAGTCACCAATTAATGCATTTTCAATGTACCAATTAAGAATTCTACATACACTGCCTTTAGATTTTCACAACACTCATCTCAATGCAGTGGAATATTGGCCATTATTTTTATGCCTCTTTGAATGGGGTGAAAATTGCGACCTGTGCTTTTCAATTAACGCTGGTGATGATTATTAATTCACTTTATTAATTATAATTACTAATTATCACATCATTAAAAATATTGTTGGTGTCTTCGTTTATGAACTGGTCATGGGTGTGATTACCCCACACCCCCCCCAGCTCCAGCACATTAATTGGGTGCAAAGCCGGCCCACATTTTGCAGCACTGGACCATCAGTTTACAAAATATTGGCTGAAACCTGTTTTTTTTGTTGAGTTACACCTTTGCCCACTAACCATTAGTTAATGTCATGAAATTCGATAAATTAATAGATAAATCAGTAAATTAATTCATCAACAGGGCCGAGTTTTCAACAATTAACAATGCATTAAGTTACATCTCACAAGTTACAATTTTCACCCAACGTGTTTTATCTGCATCATTTTGTATCCTGACATTTTCATTAATTATTTTATACTGTGAAATTGTGCATCTCAGATTGTTAAGATAATGTTATACACTCTATTCGTATATACACATAGTGAATTGTTTCTAATACAATGCAAAAATGTTTTATCCATTATTGCTGATGTTTATATTGTAGCTTCAGCTGCAAGAGGAACTGGTAAGTTGTCTAAGGGAGGAGCTTAGTCAGGCACAAAACCAATACCAGGATCAACAAAGGCAGCTTGCGAAGTTAAAGTACCACATATCTGAAATGGAGGTGGAAGTAGAAAACCTCAAAGGCAAACAAAAGAATGGTGCACAGATGGTAAATTACATTCTTTTTAATATTATCTATTAATCTAACATAAATTGGAGTAAAGATTAAAAAATTTAATATATACAGTAAAACTCGTATAAGTCTTATCTTTATAAATCGTATCAACGCCTAAGTCGTACATTCACCCAAGACCCATTGAGTTTCCTATCACTTAGATTACTTCATACTACTCGTATAACTCACCTCCTAATTCGTAATGCTGCTCCCCTATTCTCTATTACCCCCGTGTTTACCGGACATCTTGAATCACGGGAAATGACGTCCTTACCCATGGACGCATGCGCACTTACCAGCCAGCTGTATTGAATCTCAGGGAACATAGTCTTCATACGTCAACCCATGCGCAGAAGAACTTCCATTGCCTACGATTCAGTGTGATTCCAACGTTTGCCAGTAAGAGCCCATGTGATGATTTGTAAAGACACATTGAATAGCGGTAAATGTAATCTTAACCCATTACCACATATGCATTTACTGGCTGCATTAAATTACGCATTAAATTATTGATTTAACTCAGATTTTCTATGCTTCTAAAATTCGCCTGCAACTCAGACTTTGCATCAGCCTTATTAAATAATAATAATAATTCTTGCATTTGGTGTAGTGCCTTATCACAACTTTGAGATGTCTCAAAGCCTTCCCGAATATACTGTAAAGTGAATTGACTGTATATTTTGTGGGAGAAATGCTGTTATGATCCCAACTGATACGACTTAGTGTATATATAGAAACCTGCATCTTTACTGTTGATCATTTCAGGCTTTTTAAAAAGTATAAATGTCAAATTCATTTTACGTCCTAAAGGCAACGTGGTAGACAAGTATTTCCAACAGTTAACCGAGGACCTCTTTGCACAGATGGATGTGGTACTAGAGGAAAACAATAGGTGTAGATTATTTTACTAAAAAGTGTGTAATTTGCTTCTCTCATACCCCCGCTAATTATGTTTCTAAATCTGGAGAAAATCAAATTACAGGGACTTTTCAGCTAGGGTGTTTTGCTTGTTTCTCCATTTTAAAATTCCTCCTATTGCTCTTCAAGATATGTGTCTTCCCCGAGTTAGGAAGCTAAAACAGCCTAGACTTTGAACTCTCTACATTGCTTTAAAGCATCATCTTGTAAAACTGACTAAAGTGTGACTGACACTTCAGAATGGAACTGAACTCAAAATTCGACAGCAGCAAACACTGGAGAGTCAGCGTCTTTTAGGGTATCAGCAACTTATGATCTTTTATTCAGTAATTAAATCCTGTTTGAAATGGCTTCTCAACCTAAAGCTCTCACCATCACATTTACAGTATTTTAAAATTATCTCCACGTGTATTTCATAAACAGAATTCTTAATGGGGATTGCAACACATCAGCTTAAGTCCAATCATAAGGAAGAATCTTCATAACTCCTGACTATCACTTGTAACATAACAACATAAAATGTTTTTACTAGTGGATAATGTCCAGCACATCCATTTCCTTAATAATCCACAACCTCAACTACCTTCAATTTTGCTTATTTCAGAAATATATCTAACCTCTTGTGTTATATATCTAACCTCTTGTGTTAACCTCTATTAACACTGTACAAATCTATTACCATTTCTGTAAAATAGTTCTGTTTGACTTACCTGCTTACTTACTTTCCATCTGTGTCTAGATTTACTAATTTTCTCTGTTTTGGATTTTCCGGAATTTGGCAAAATGTTGAATTCAGTTTTAATTTTGAAGTCAGTTTTCTGTAATGCTTAAACAAACTTACAAAAAAAAACTTCAAAATTAAGACTTCATTTAAGAATTGCAAAATTCAGGATACTCTGAAATGCTAAGAAAATAAAGTAAATTTAGATCCAGGTGGAATTTATCTCCCCTAATCATAATAAACCTTGAAATTTTAGTATCATGAAACCCGACAGAGAAAACGTGCTAAATGGTTCCTTATAAGAGAGAATCCTCAGACATTACTGCAAGCAAAATTGGATGATTGTCTCCAAAATGCATCAGACATTTACAGTTGTACAATTTACAGTATATCCTGTGAAATCCTTTGAGATATCCTTCCTATGTGAAAGGTGATCTATCAAATGCAAAGGTTTTGAAGACTGAAAATTGTGCTGTTTTAACTGCCATTTTTGTATGATTACTAAATTTAGTGATTCCTAGGGATTGGAAAATATGTACATGACTCAATTTAAGATTCAAGAGAAATATATGGGAACCAGCAAGCAATCTTGAGCAATCCAATGGGAAAACACTTGGATAAGCTTAATTTGTTAAAGACAGTCATAATTGATCTAGAAAGAAAAATCATGTTTAACAAACCTACTGGAACCTTTAAATATAAATATATAATATTGCTGATATATTGAACAAGGCTAATTTAACTGATAATAAAAGATCAGTTTACACAGAGCAGAGTCCAACAAACAACTTTTAAGTGAATAACCCAATTTTATCTGGGGGATTATTAGCCAAAAACACCCAGAGAAATTTCCTTCTCTATCTGAATAGTGCCATGGTATCTTTAATGTCCACTTGAACAGGCAGAAGGGACCTCCATTTAATATCTCATCCAAAGAATGGCATCTTGAACATTGCAGCACACCCTCAGCACAGGACTGGAGTGTCACCCTAGACTATGTGAGTTCAAACTCTTGATGTGAGGCTTAAACCCCAAACCATCTGACTCAGATGAGAATGCTACCAACCAAGCCAGGCTGACACATGCTCTATAAGCTTTAAATTCAGGGACTTTACAAATTTGATTGGCTGCCCAGGAAGCACTACTTCCTGGAAGGTTTGAATAATTGGAATTTCAATAACATAGCAGATGCATATTGCCAACTGAAGAATCCCACAATGTTGGGACTCATAACTGGGGCAAATCACAGCTATAGATTCTATGATAATATTATTATGATTAATTATTATTATTAATATTATTATTCTATGATAATAATGTTATATTTGGGATAGAGAACATTGAAATAACTTGTTGAAATAATTAAAATTCTTTGGTGTTTTCACAGCTTAAGGATCGGGAGAATCTTATATCAACACTGAAGGAAGAAATGGAACTTCTACAGAATAAGCATCACAGTGTGTGTGAGGAGCTAACAAAAGCGGACTCAAGAGTTAAACATATTCACTTAAGCATGGCTGCAACTGAGAAACAGAGAAAGCACTATGCTGAAGAGGTAACATTGAGTATTTTATGTTTCTGAGCTTTAAATAAATGTATTGTAAGAATTACTGTGGATTCAACGTCTAGTCCAGAATCAGCCATTGTCAGGACTGATCAAGCAATCTTGGTACCCAACGACCATTCAGACAATTGCATAATTTACATAGGCAAAGCTTCTGTCGCCATCCTTGGAATATCCTTGGGATGTCCTCCCGACGTAAAAGGCACTATACAAATAATTTTGTTGTTGTTGGAACAATTTCTCCTCCATAATATAGATCTTGCTTGTGGTCTTTTCCCTTTTCTCTTTATGATCATCCATAAATTGGGGATACTTTTTTGTCTACTGTTTTTGTCTACTGTTTGAGTGAGAGTTACTTGAGGTTTCAATGCCTCCTCTGGGCAAACAACTAAAGTCACACCTCAGAACATAGCCTTGTTCAGCACAGTGGAGATAGATTGCTTTTGGTTAATCAAGGTGTGGACGTATTAATGGAACACCTCTTTGGGTCATTAGAATGGTGGTTCTTCTATTTGTATTTAGAAGTTGGACATCCTTTAAAGAATGAGTACTCTTTACTTGAACTAGGTAATCTCACAATACCACCCAGTGAGCATCGGAGCTTTGCAGTCACATAACACCATTTTCCCTAGCTGATTCCTTGTTTACATTAATATATGTAAATTAATTTATTCTACTCCTTCAGGAGTGCGATACAGCCTAAAGGCTTATGCTTTAACTATTGCATTTGCATTTAAAAATCATTATTTTTAGTGAGGGCTGAAAAAAATGGATGCTATAGTGTCACTATCTGTCTATGTGTCATTATATCTGTAATTGAGACTGATGCTAGCTCTAATTTCATATGCACGTTGACGAACATTTTGTGAAATGTTGGTTCATTGTAAATAAGTCTCATTTTTATTTCAGACAGCGTGGGTTTTAGGGATGTTTTGATTTAAGCTCAATACTTTTATCAGCTGGTTGCATTATTTTGTAATCTATGTCTGATGCTGTTAATATAAACAGAGACAAATTCAGAAATGAACTGTTAAAACATCGCAATTAGTTATTCTGTTTTGCTGAGCTAATGACATTTAATTAGCACCAGGAATGGCCCGCAGCCTATGACATCAGACTGACAATGGTAAATTACATCTTATAAGTTCAGCAGACCAATACTGACTTTTCCTGGAAACTAATACTAGACTGCCTGTTATCATAGCATTATTGTCCAGTTTACTGAGTGCTAAATATTCATTTTGTTTAATAATCACAATATTAGATTAGTGAAAAAATAACATTAATACAAAAGTAGGATATTTTGCTCCATATAAAGACAGTTTGCTAATTACAAATGGACAAAATCAAGTTACCATCTGTAAAGTAATTAATTTTCTTCTAAAACCTATGTTCAAATGTTAGGGATTCATATCCTCAATTTATATCAATCGTGTGCTATACTAGAATCATAGAATCGTACAGCACAAAAAGAGGCCATTCGGCGCATCGAGTGTGTGCCAGCTCTTTGAATAGAGCAATTAATGTCAATCCCACACCCCAGCCTTTTCCCCATAACCCTGCAAACCCGTCTTCTTCAAATACCCATCCACCGCGTTTTTAAAAGTAGTTATCGAATCGGCCTCGACCACCCTTTCAGGCAATGCGGTCAGTCATGCAGTTAAAAAATTGACTTCATCATTCAAAATTTTCCAAATGTCCTGTTGCAAAAGTAAAGCTGATCCCAATGAAATGCTCAGGATCCAGGAAAGAGATTCTTTGGGACATCCTCAGGATGTGAAAGGCACTATACAAATGTAATTTGTTGTTGTTGTTTCCTGGCACTGGCAACATGAAATTTATCCTTGGGGAAAAAAAATGTTCCTTGGTCTCCAATGCGTTAAATAATTATAACTATTCTGCAATTTACTGAGTCAACTTTACACACTGCTATAGACATTTTCATTCTCAGCACTGCTGACATACTTTATTTTTAAAAAGTTGCTCTACAAGACAAAACTATAGGCTGTAACAATGGTTTAATAGACCTAGGGAAGATATTCCTTTTTTGGATGGGAAGGGTTGTTGGTCCACAGAGCCAAAACAAAGTTGGTTATTGTGTGTTAGCTGCCTACTGTCAATGCTCAGAGATTGCAAAAGGGAATTTGAACTTCAGGATTTTACTGATGCCATTGGACAGAAAATCAGGTTTGTACTAGAAATTACTTGGATCCTGCTTACCAACACCAAATAGATCCCTGCTAATGTTTGTTCACAAGTAGTATTACTAGGATTTCGCTGTACGTTCCACCAGGAATGCCCACTGCTGTGTCTGTACGACAGTCAAAGTGAAAAGCTTTGCTGTTGAAATGTTGTAAGAAGAATAAGCAAATCCAAAGGGTAAAATAAAAGAAAGCTTTCTGGAAATAAGCACTGTTTACAGTTGTAGAAAACCTGCCAGCAGCTGGTCAGGTTAATTCTCTCTCAAGTGGTTGATAATTTAATTTTTTTTCTAAAACTGATAAACTTGGGTGAATTGCCAAGTTCCATAGCGCACCAAGGCAGAGAAAGCTGAGAGCGGTCGAGATGAATCAAGAAGTAATGGTTAGATGATGCTAAGTTTCAGGTTATAACCTTTTTGATTGTAGCAGGAGGGGCAGGAGAGGAAAGTGGGTTTGTCTCGGATTTGTGATTCTGGGTTTTGGCATAGTTAATAGGAAATATTTAACATTTGTCCTTAGATACAATTGACAGCACCGACTTGCACTTACAGAAATGCCTTGATTTACTGGTTGAAGTATTGTTATAACATATATAAAATTGGTTAAAAATAAACATTGTGTTTTTATAGGTTGAATACTACAAAGAAAGTTTGGCAAGGTTGCAGACTAACCTGGATGAATCGAAGGAAAAATATAAACAGTGCAATAAAGAACTGTCAGTGTCAGAAAAGAATGCCCATGATCTAAAATTGGAAATTTCAATCTTGCAAGGAAGTCAGAGAGAGAATGTGGAGCAGGTACTACCTCAATTACTCCGCACTGCCATACACTTTATACTTTTAAATAAAAGGAATTAGCTGATGTCAATCTGGCCCAGGAAGTCACTGTGATTTTGCATATTCATAACAGTTAAGACAATATCAATATTGCTGGGAAATATCAGCACTGGTGTTTTTTCCACATGCCCTGTCCCACTCTCCTGTTACGGATATGCAAAATCATTGCAACAAACAATGCAAATGAAAAGCATTTGGCCAAACTTACATTTTAAACATTTCAAGGTTTTTTTCTGTGTAAAACAGAAATTTAAGGAAAAAAAGTTGTTCTAGGTTCTTGGTGGCTGCTCATTGTAATACAGGAGGATGACCATTCTTCCCATATTTGATATCCTCACCTCCTAGCGACTGGTTCAGTAGAAGACAGTAGATGGGGAAATATTCTTATTCCCTATCCCTCTCAGTCTTGGAAATTAGCTGCTTTTAAGGGGCAAATCAAAAGTAATTTACAGAGTTTAATGGCGTTTGCAAAAAATCGAGTCAGTTCTGTTATCGATACTATGAAGACAAAATAGTGTTATAATATAAAATGATAATCCTTGCATTTGATATAACACCTAATCACGGCTTCTAAACGTCTCAAAGCACTTCACAGAATATACTGTAAATTGAATTGACTGTATATTTTGTGGGCAAAACACTGCAGCCAATTGTGCACAGCAGTCTTCCACAAACAGTTGTGGATTGAGTGACGTTATATTTATTTTTGAAGGGATTATTACCCTCGGAAAAGTGATCTGCAAATCGACTGACGACCGGGTTCCTACTTACCGCTAGGTAAACAGAGGCATGGGGAGTAAGGAAACTTGCCCAATGTTTTGCCCTGCCCGGGAATTAAACCCAGGACCTCTCGCTTGCGAGATGAGTGCTATAACCACTGAGCTACAGGACTCCACAACATGTGGAATAATTAAAATGCATTTCACTTTAGCTCAGTCCTCACACTCCTGTTTTTCTTTCAGCTGAATGGAAAGACTAAGGATGTAATTGTTCTCAGCGGTGACAACGCTGTGCTGCAACAATCAAATGAAAAACTCACCACCGAAAATTCTGCATATGAAATTAAGATGAAGAAACTCCATTCTGAGCTGAAAATAGTCAGTCAGTTGAACAAACAATCTGAGGAAGAGGTAATAAAAAATAACTTTTTGATTGTTTTGACTTTCAGGAACTATTGGTTTCAATCTGCCCCAGTTGGTAGCACTCGTTGAGTGTCTGAGACATCGGGACTTTGAACTTATATAGCCGGGGTTGGCATTCCTATGATCCGTTGGAGGGCAATGCCATGACTGTCCACCCTGTCACAGGATAGGGCAGGAGGTGGGTCGGGAGGCTAATAGACTAGAGGCTCTGCAATGCATCTGAGCATGTGCGCTCAACCCCCGCCAAGCACCTACTCCAGTCACAGGATAGGGCAGGAAGCCTCTGCAAAGCTAGACACCATCTTATAGGACTAGTTATGCAATCGATTTTACATTTTAAGTACTTGTAAATATTTCTGGCATGCAACTAATTCAGAGTTAAGCAGAGTGACAAGTAGAGTCCTCTATTAATATTTGCACTGGAAGTGGCTGGGATATTGACAGCATGGTGATGTAGGTGGTGGTGAAAAGTTAAGCGAGGTTCAAATTATCAGGAGTTTAGTTTTCAAAGTTTGCACCAACTCAGACCATTGATAAATAGCCCATTCAGAAAGCCTCAGAGGGAGTGAAAAAAACGAAATTTCCTGGTTTAATTGGCTTTCAGCAACAATTAAGTGCCTTAATTGATGTGTAACAACACTTGCACCAGGCAAAAATAAATTGAACTTCTATTTTAAATGGATTAAATGTGCCATTGTAACCTCCAATTTTCTCTATCACTAATCATGTGTTCATTTTCTCGATGGGGAAAATTCTCACCAATGTTATTAGAATGGCAATCAAATAGCTATTTGTAATACTGGAACAATTCCATGCACTTTCTTTCATTGTTTTGTCCTGCTTCCAAACAGTTTTTGGTTTGCCTGAAAAAATTAATGAAAAGCTGATGTGCAACACCAGTGGTTTACATATACAATGCTTTCCCCAGGAGATAATAATAATTCCAGACAGGGCGAAACTTTGGGCAAGTTTCCTTACTCCACACACCTAATAATAATCCCTTCAAAAAACAAAATCAATAATAAATTGGTCATTTTCAATCCACGACTGTTTGTGGGACACTGCTGTGCGCAATTGGCTGCCGCGTTTCGCCCGCAAATATACAGTCAATTAATTTTACAGCATATTCTGTGAAGCGCTTTGAGACGTCTAGAAGACGTGAAAAGTGCTATATCAAATGCAAGGATTATTATTATTATCATGAGGTTGAGAAATCTCAAAATACATCACGAGATTTTACTGTGAAGTGTAGTGACTGTGTACTTGTGGATGAACGTGGCAGCCAAATTGCACAAAGCAATGTCCCACAAATGAGCATGAGGGAGAGTGGATCGGGTAATGCCAATAATAAGGTAGGTTTTACTTGACTGAAAAGTATGGGTTTGATGATCTGAATGACCTATTTGTGTTTCATATTTACTTGTGTTCTTAAAACAGGTAACTAATAACTGATATTCGATGCAGAAAATGTGGCTTTGTGAATGGATCACCCAATGTCTTCTAGCTATTAAATGATTCTGCTCATTGACCGTCATGACAGAACTCTATGCCGTCACCATAAAAAGTTTCTATTTGTTGCTAGACTGCATCTGAACAGTATTTTTAAAATACATTGCAACAGATGATTTTACTTTACAGTAAAATGTGATTTGAAACGTTGTGACGATGTGCTAAGGCATTATATCAAATGCAAGGAACATTATTATTCTCTTACAATTTACCAATAAATATGTAAATTTCTTCCTTTATGATGTGACAATTCAGATTAATATTTGCTGCCTTTAATTTGAGCTAAATCATCCCATAAAATCTTACTGTTCAAAAGCAGTATTTTTAAAATATTCCTTCAATGGAATATAATTTCTTACCTATGTGTCCTCTGAGAAGGTATCGAAATTGTAATAATTTAGGATATACGTATAATAGTAGATAATAAGAATACATTTTAAAGAATTAAGGTGTTCAGATCGTACCCTAAATTGTAAAATCAAATCTTTAGTGATTCATAAATATCTGAACCCCAAACTGTATCTTGTAATTCCCTTACATCTATTAGAAAAAGAAATTGGAGAGACAGAAATTAGTGTAAGGCTGCAGTTTTTTTTTATTAAACATCAGTTATAGAACAATTTAATGCAAAATGCAAATTGAAGCTGCCAGTAGCCTTCAATTCTTCTCCTGGTTAACATTCATGCAAGGGCAAAACTGATTTAAGTAATGGCTACATGTGCTTGCTTCTTACTGACACAGCAGTTGATCTGATACCTTAAACACATGGGTCACTCAATATTGTAGGTTAGCTGCAACTTTGAGGAAATTTGGTATTTTTGCTGTATCCTCCCTTTAGCTGACGTAGATATTTTCTTTCATTGTAATAGGAGAAATGATACCTCTATAATACACTGATACCTAATTACAAAGATTTACAATATGATTCTATAGGCATAATGTCTGACTAAGCAATGATATCTAGACATTATATACGCTGACAGAAAAAGGGCATGACATTAGATAGGAGGATCGGAGATACAGTAATAAAGATTGATGAACATTTTGGAGGGTGATCTTCCATCAGAATCTGGAAAATCATTCACTTTCAGATGCTGATTGACCTGCTGTTTTTTATGTAAATGATTTGTTTATTAGATAAAAATGGGTGTTATGGTTCTCGGTAAAAGGCACAGACAGCTTCAGGATTCCATCTTCAACTGTTTTTTCCATAAGATGACAAAGCTTCCTACTTCTGCCATTGAAAGAGGACCCTGACAATTGCACTTTTTCCCCCCTGAAATTAATAATAATAATAATTCTTGCATTTAATATAGTACCTTATCAAGTCTTTGAGACATCTCAAAGCACTTCACAGAATATTCTGTAAAGTGAATTGACTATATATTTAGAGGGCGGAACACGGCAGCCAATTGCACACAGCAGTGTCCCACAAATAGTCATGGATTGAAGCGACCAAATCATTATTATTTTTGAAGAAATTATTACCCCCGGAAAAACGATCAGCTAATTGACTAACAAACGTGTTCCTATTTACTGCTAGGTAAATAGAGGCGTGTGGAGTAAGGAAACTTGCCCAATGTTTCACCCTGCCGGGAATCGAACCAAGGTCTCTCGCTTGCAAGGCGAGTGAGCTAATCACTGAGCTACAGAATTCCGCTGCAGGATTAGGTAGTGTTCTAGCCTTGGATCAATGAGAAGCAGATAGAAAACTCATCTGGGACTTAGAATCTGCTGTGTGATTAAGACCAGCATTCAATATTCCCGATTGCCCCCTGCTGTACCTGATGGTGTCCACAGGTACCATAGCTGGGGTGAAGCAACCTGTATGTTTGAGAGAGAGAAGAAAAAGCTGATACACAAAGTTTCCAAGGCACTATTCAAAACGAGAAGGTAGTTTCTACCTGTCTCCTGGCCAACAATCCCCCAGATTAAATTGGTAATTCACTTTATGGTTGATTGTAGGGTGTTTTTATGTGCAAATTGGCTATCTTGTTTGCCTACAAAATGCACGGTCACTAGAGTTAACTGTAAATCCTTTGAAGGACTTGCAGACGACCGCCCGATGTAAAGACGCTATAACAAATGTTGGGGTTATTCTTGTCATGGGACATCCACTGGATGAAGAGTCTTATCAATTTCCATGTGCACAAAACTTTTTTAAAAAAAATAACTTGCTCACTCAATCCACGACTGTTTGTGGGATATAGCTGTGCGCAATCAGCTTCTGTATATTGCCCACAAAATATACAGTTAATTCACCTTACAGTATATTTTCCACCCTCCCTCTTCCCCTGGTTCTGGATCCCACTCCGTCACTGTCAAATGCTCCGGGACGCTACCCTGCGTGAATGGCATTTTATAAATGTAAGTTGTTGATATTCTGTGAAGCACTTTGAGAAGTCTTGAAGACATGATAAGGTGCTACATCAAATACAAAGATTATTATATTCTGCTGGATCATGAGGCAATAATCTCTGCTGTCTGATGGACATATTTCCTTTATTTTCATATTTCATACCTTGAAAAAAAGTAATACACCCTCTTGACTTTAAAATAACCGGTTCCTCATGGGTGGAGGTTTTTATGGGACACGAGTGAATACATAACATATGCCTTTATAATTAATTAAAAGCTAAATATCAATCATGCAACTAGTAGAAGGTTATTACAGTAGTTTTTTGTGAGATATTGGGTTATATATTATGTAATACATATTTATATACAGCCGTTTTTTAGCTTACTTTGTAAATTTTGCTTTTCATTTGTCACAATAGCTTTTTATTTACATTGCGGAAAAAAGTCTGTATTTCTAGAAATCAAATATCCTCGAGTCTTATAAAGATATAAAATGAATGGTTGGATTTATCATCCTCATCCATTCGAGATGGTCTGAGACTATGTCTGTGTATGCACATAAGGGAATTTTTTCTTGTTCCTAGGATGCGCAAGAGAGGATTTCATAGAATGATGTGTTGTGCTCTCTCCATGACATTCTAATTGAAACATTATACTGTTCTACAAGACTGAGTTTTTGATTTCCTCTCCATAATAGTCCGTCTTTCATCTTTTCTGCTGCTTTATTTTATACTGTTCCCATCTTACGCATGCTGAATGCTATTATTGCCTTTTGTTATTAACTAGGGATGGATTTGAAAAAGGTAATTTTGTGCTGTCTTGATGTAACAGAATAAGCTGTCAAACATCATACCAGGTGACAATGTGATGTCCTTCTAAGCTGCATCAAAAGCGTAGTATGCACTTCAGCTTGAAGGTTAGAGTTAATCAGTGAGCATTGCCAATAGCAGTTTTATTAAATGTCTGGGTATGTCTGCTATGGATCAGGCCAAATAATATAATCTTACAATAAGAAAACAAGAACATAATTAATTCACTGTGATTGCCTATTCTGAATGTCCTTGACAAATAGTGATCTGATTGTTTTCTTATTTTGTTTTCTTTTGAGACGAATAATGTCTAAGAGTGAATGTATGGAGAAGGATTCTTTAAAGAACGTTTTCACTTTGGGTCTAACTATTATTGCTCATAGTATTTTTTTTCATCTTTCAAACCAGCCCCCATCCAGTTATCTAATGAAAAGAAGCACTGTAGATTTCCTTCTGTGATTTGTTTGGTGTGAATCATTATCTCTTTTACAGAGGCTCAAAGCAATATTGAAAAAAAAATGACAATAAGGTTCATTTTATCACAGAAACCTATTTTATTATTTAATCAGACTTGGAGGTATTATCTGTGTTACTTTAACTCATTGTACATGTTAAGTTAGTGACATTCTGAAATGGTTTATTAGCTATGATGTCCAATGCTTGCAGTTTTGTTTCTTTTACAAGTACCTTGAGAATGCTGAACTCATCTGAAAAACATTTAACATTTTATTGTAGAAATTAGATTTTAGGTGGAATGTATTAGCATCCCTCAGTGTTAAAGCAGGCAAAAATTAAAGGCTATGGACCTATAGGTTGTTTGAGAATTACTTCAAGAACATAATTACAGTACGTGACTGTATGTTGGTATGTGCTTTATTCTGTGCTGACATGCTCCTTTGATTTAAAATTAACTTTAAAATAATCACAGCTTGGGTAGCATAGTGGTACAGTGGATTGGAGCACAGCACACCGCGCTACAATGCAGTGCAACGTAGAGCTAATACTCTACTCCACTGAATTCTTTGTTTAGGAGAAACCAAGCTTAGGTCAGATATCTGTATCTATCTATATATGTCTATTCTCCCAGATAAGAGTGGCAGTGAGAGAAACAATATGGTGAAAAATATATGTAGTGACGATTATCGCCAGTTAAAAATTATTTCATTGCTGAAAATTGTAGTGTAAACCAGTCTTCAAATTAACAACTGGTTTCTAGGATAAACATCACTCTCCCCTGAGTTCAGTAGAATCCATTTAGCTGGACAGTCTCAAACATCGCCATTGCTATTACCACCCACAGAGTGCAGTATTTCAGTTCCACTTCGCTGGATATTGCCTACCCCTGATTGAGTTAAGTTGGTATCTCGTGAAGAGACACTCAAATATCACACTTTTGCCCTGCATTGATGTTGGCAGCGGTCAAAAACTTTAGCTTGGTTTGAAACCATTGTACTCAAGTTTTGAGAATGGTGGGGAGAGAGGATCACATACAAAACCAGCCAATAATTAAATTGTGTTGGATCTAATTTTTCAGTACTGCAATAACTATTAGAACATTTTAATTTAGAATATTTCTAGAATATCTAATTAAATGCTTTTTAGGTTGCTACTAGTAGCCCATGTTGTCGCAATGCAGCAATTAGGTGCGATGGGTCAATGTCCAATGTGGGACTAATATATGTTAAAAAATGGTTTGAATTATTTTTAAGAATATGTTAAAATAATTGCCCTTACTATGTTTTAGATATAAATAATTTAAAAATGACTATTAAAAATCTAGTCAGTGTAGCTCCCATGTAAATCCCCTGATAAGCTTGTTACAGAATAGAATTGGGAGAGACGACTGGGATGTCCATTGTCACTTCCTTGTTTTTTTAAGCCTGAGGTGCTCGAGAGATGTCTGTAATGGAGAGAAAAATAACAGATATTCATTAAAATATATTTCTAATAGTCATTGCTAAATTATTTATATCAAAAACATGGCAAGGGCAATCAATTGTTTTAATATATTCTTAAAATTATTTGAATCAATTTTTTAAATATATTAGAATGTTATTTCTTAAAGCGCTCTGTTACACAGGCTCAGTGACAGATTGTTAGATATAACCTCAGGTCGTTTTGTTTTTTCAGGTACCAAGAGAAACTAGATTAAGAATATTTCTTTATATCTAAGTTCTGAATTTCCATATTATTTTTGTTTCTCATTTTTAGCACAGTTCCCATATTTTTATCATTTTAATTTTGTTAATGTTATTTTGTGAATAAAATCACAGTATATTAATTTGGGGCAGTTTATAAAAGCGTTTCAGACTTCATAATCAAATTGAGTTTTATAATATACCCCTTTCAGGGAGGTACAATGAGGCACCTTTGTCAACCTTTTTCTCTATTCACAGCTATGGCAGCTGTTGAAACAAAAGAAGCTACATTTAACTAATCAAAACATCTGTAGTGCTTGGCCATTTACAGTTTCCTATCAAGACGGAGAAAAATGTTAATTTTAGAAGATTTATTTTATGACCTGTAATTACTGTCATTAAGAAAGCTCTGGAGACTTGCAGGGAGCTTTGACTGAAATGTAGTTTGACACATTCCATAATTAATGCTGAATTAACATGCTACATTATGTGCCAGATAAAATTATTTTCCTTGCAGCTAGAACTGCAATCAAAGCATGAGCTGTGGATAGTTATGCTGTCTAGCAAGTTAAATTTTAGAAAACAGGGAGTAAAACAAATCCATTTGGAAGTATTAAAATTATTCTCAAAAGTGCGATCCTTCAATGTTTTTTGTTACAACAAACTGGTAATGATTTGCGCATCAGAAACTTATTGTGATTGTGCACAATAGAAAAAGGTTATGACACAGTACAGATTTGTGTTTATTTGCTCAAGGTTTACACCTGAAGTTGATTAATTCAAACAAGTTGTTTACAACAAATACTGCGACTGATGTCACAATCATAAACAGCATTACCAAGTACAATATAACATTTCAATAAATACATATTTTAACATTTAAAATTGATACAAGAAGATGATCACGTTTGCATAATCTGCTGGAGGCTAAAAATTACAATTGGCAACTACAATCATATTTGTCTATGGAAAATTTCTGCACTCAATCTAGAATGGTCTCCCGTGCATTGTGGATGAAGAAAAATTCTTCCTCTACACACTCTCTACTTCTGACAGTCATTGAATTTTCTATTTTCAAATGAAATTGAGATCCAAAATTGAGTACATATAATAAAAAACATTTGTCAGAATTCAGCTTTTAGTCTTGGCATTGGTGATTAGTTGATTTCCTGCTGATCTTCTGCTGCTCTATTATGATTTTAAAGAAGTTTTCTCAGTCTTCTAAAGAATAGCTTTCATTAAATTAGAAATATTTATGCTAGCTATTGATGTGTTGCATGAACACATTAACTAGTAATATTCTGCAGTAATGAAAACATTTATGCTTTGTTTGAGAGCATTTAGCTCATAACAATTTTTTTAACAAACACTGTAATCTTAGTTTGGAAAGCAAGGTTTGGAAAGAGCTCTGACAAAATAACTTTTAACAGAGTTGTTGTTGAAAGGAATAATAATAATAATAACAATCCTAATAATAATCCTTGCATTTGATACAGCGCTTTTCACGTCTTCTCGACGTCTCAAAGTGTTTCACAGAATAGACTGTAAAGTGAATTGACCGTGTATTTGTGGGCAAAACGTGGCAGCCAATTGTGCACAGCAGTGTCCCACAAACAGTCGTGGATTGAAAATGACCAATTTATTATTGTTTTGTTTTGGAGGGATTATTATTAGGCGTGTGGAGTAAGGAAACTTGCCCAAGGTTTCGCCCTGTCTGGAATTGAACCCAGGTGTCCCGCTTCCAAGGCGAGTGCTCTAACCACTGAGCTATAGGACTCCACTTGAATAAACCTTCAACTTACACAATTAATGTAATAGTAATAATAATAATAATAATCCTTGCATTTGATATAGCGCTTTTCACGTCGGAAGGACGTCCCAAAGCGCTTCACAGAACACACTGTAAAGTGAATTGACTGTAAATTTGTGGGCGAACGCGGCAGCCAATTGCGCACAGCAATGTCCCACAAACGGTCGTAGATTGAAAATTCCAATTTTATTATTGTTTTTGGTTTTGGAGGGATTATTATTAGGCGTGTGGAGTAAGGAAACTTGCCCAAGGTTTCGCCCTGTGCCTGGAATTGAACTCAGGTCTCTCGCTTGCAAAGCGAGTGCTCTAACCACTGAGCTACAGGACTCCACAATGTAATTCAAAACCTCTAGATATTTGAAAAGAAACTAACATTTTGAGATAGAAGGAAATAGAGAACCATAGATCCATAAATCAGGGATAAATCTGTCCAGTTCTGGTTAAAAATAATTTTGGATTGTAATGACTGATCCATTTCAGCTCCAAATAGTATAGGATAAATGTATCTATGAAGAACATTCACCCAGAAGACTGAATTATAATTCCAACATAACAAATTGATTAAAAGGTTATTTCTCCTTCTTAATTTCTGGAATTCTAATATGCAATGTCTCTGCATTTTACTGTCCGCACATTGGAGTGGGTAAGAAAAGAGAGCTTTTAACCTGCTTTTTAATTTGTTTGACTCTTGAATACTTATAGGTACACAAATATGAAGAGAAGCTAACTGAGATCAGTGCTCAACTCATTGAAGCACTGAAGAAGAGCCAAGAAAGCATCAAAGATTTAGCTGTTAAAGAAGAACACCTGGTTATGCACAAAGCACAGATGGTTGTCTTAGAAGAGACGTTACAAGACAAAGTAGCAGAGGTACTGAATGACATTATTGAATCTCTGCAAATAAATAATAATTGTTGCAGTTGACATATTGCCTATAATGTCTCAAAATAGTTCACAAAACTTAAGTGGAAGTATAGTGACTGTATTTGTGGGCAAACATGGCAGTCATTATACTTTATTTGCACACAACAACATCTCACAAACCACGTGAATGACCATTTTAATTTACTGAGTAGAACGGAGGGAGAAATTCCTTTTTTTCAAATAGTGCCCTGGAATTTTTAGACAGGTCCTCGGTTTTGTGTCTCATCTGAACGACAGCACTGCTGACAGTGCAGCACTCCCCCGTAACATGCTGGAGTGTCAGTCTAGCAAAAATCCCGATGCAGGGGTTGAACCCATAACCTTCTGATTAATTTATATTCCATATTTTTAAAAGTTATTTTGGTATTAGTGTACGATGACTGCAGTTGAGGTCATGTTGTAGATCTCCTTAGAGCCCAAACCTCACAAATCAGCATGACATGCAGTGTTCTCACTGCATAAAAGACATTTTGTCACTAGGCACATTTTCCAGTGTGAAGGTACCAGCACCATTACCTTTTTCAAAAGAAGCATTTTTCCACATTAGTCCAATTGGAATGTTTTAACTGACTTAAGTTCATCTCCTGCATTTCTAGTATGCTATTGGTAGAAATGACTCCATGTCTGCTTATAAAACAGACACAATACTTGATACTAATTACTTGTGAAGCACTTTTGAGTCATTTCAGGATGATGATGCACTATAAACATGCAAGTTCTTTTTTCTTTGAAGTATACATTAATGCAACAGTTTGCAAGGCTGTCATGACGTATATTTTGGCAATGATATGTAATGGGATCTGACATTATAGAGTGAACAAAATGTTAATTACTATTGAAATGAATCAAGCCAACGATAACACGCATTATGTACGTCAGGCTATGTTACATTGAGGCATTGGTGATTACAAAACCAATGATGCCATCAATTGAATCACTACATGATTTTTTTTTATTTGTGTTTTGCAATATAGGTTCATGCTATTTACACAGTTCTTGTGTGGCATTGAAAGCAAAATACATGCACCTTCAAATCAACTAAAATTGATAGCTGGAATTAGGCACCTAAGTTATGAGAAGAGACTGCAGAAGCTGGGGATGTTCATACTGGACAAGAGAACAATTAGAGAGATCTTAAAGTATTTACAATCCTAAAGAGTATTTGAACACAAAAGTTGAACCCTAATAATGTTTTTGTCATAAATTCTACAAGGGGACGTGGTCAAAAAAGGGGCAGTGAACATACAGTTGTGACTAAATTATTTTACACAGACTAGTGATCTTGTAGAATAGATGAATCAAAGAGGCAATGCAGGCAGATTGTGTCAGCAGAATTGAGAGGGAATTGGACAGCTGTTTAGCAAATAAATTGATTTCAGCTCAATGAGAGGTAAAATATTGTATATTGTTCATTTTTGGGATGGGCAGATCTGTTCTTTTCTGATCATGTACATTGTTGTGTTGCTTTAATTTTTTTAACCAAACACTCACTCAAATGTGCATGGCAGTTCTTTAGGCATAATGCCCTTTGTAAGAAACTAACAATTAAGGCACCAAATAAGCATTAAGTACACCCTACTTCTAAATATCAAACATCTCAAATTAAATAGATGTGTTATTGTTTATGGTGATTTTAATGGTTTTCAGCTCCAGTCAATAATAATAATAATAATAATAATAATCCTTCCATTTTGGTGAAGCGCCTTTCAGGTTGGGAGAATATCCCAAAGCGCTTCACGTGATTTACTGTGAAATGCAGTGACTGTGCATTTGTGGATGATTGCAGCAGCCAATTTAAGAACAGCAACAGCAACAACTTGGATTTATATAGCGCCCTCCATGCCAGACTGCGTCTCAGAGCGCTTCACAGTAACGGATCCCGGGGCCGAGCCAGGGAGAGGGGCTGGAAGCTGACCAAAGGTATGGTCGAAAAGAAAGGTCTTCAGCCGAGACCTGAAAATAGGGAGAGGGGGCGAGGCGAAGGGAGAGAGGAAGGGAGTTCCAGAGCCTCGAGGTATAATGGCTGAAAGCACGGCCACCGAGGGTGGAGCGGAGGACTCTGGGGACAAGGAGGAGGCCAGACCCGGTGGAACGAAGGTAACGGGCACTGTTGTGAGGAGAGAGGAAGTCAGAGAGGTAGGAGGGTGCAGAGGAGTGGAGGGATTTGAAGACAAGGGTGAGGATCTTGAAGTCAATCCTCTCTGGGACAGGCAGCCAGTGCAGTCTGGCAAGTACTGGGGTAATCGGGGAGTGGAGTTTGGTGCAGGTAAGAATGTGGGCAGCAGAGTTTTGTATGACCTGAATTTTATGGATGGTAGTGGATGGGATACTGGCGAGGAGGGCATTTGAATAGTCCACCGAGAAGTGACAAAGGCATGGACCAGGGTTTCAGCGGCTTTTGGAGTGAGGTATTGGCAGAGACGGGCGATGCATCGGAGGTGGAAGAAAGCAGTGCTTGTGAGGGACCAGATGTGGGGGACAAAGGATAATTGGGGGTCAAACTTGACACCTAGGTTGCGTACAGGTTCGGAGAGTTTTAGGGGGAGGTCAGGTAGGTGGAGGAGGTGAGAACCATGAGATTTTAGATGTTGATGAGAGCCAAAGAGTATGGCTTCCGTCTTGTCAACATTTAGCTGAAGGAAATTTGCGCTTATCCAGCCCCTGAGGTCTGACAGGCAGGGCGCAAAATGAGGTGGAAAAATAGAGTTGGGTATCGTTTGCATGCATGTGGAAGTGTACCCCATGTCTGGGGATGACATCTCCAAGAGGGAGCATATAGATCAGAAAGAGGAGGGGGCCAAGAATGGATCCTTAGGGTACCCTGCAGGTAACCGGGTGAGAGCGGGAGGAGAAGCCGTTTATGTAGATGTACTGCTGGTGGTTCGTGAGGTAGGACTCGAACCAGGTGAGTGCGGTCCCACTGAGGTGGATGACGGAGGAAAGGCGGTGGAGGAGGATGGCGTGATCGATTGTATTGAACGTGGCGGAGAGGTCCAGGAGGACAAGGAGGCAGAGGGAGCCCTGGTCACAGATAGAGAGGATGTCAATTGTGACTTTCACAAATGCAGTCTCTGTACTGTGGGCAGGGCGGAAACCGGACTGGAGGGGTTCGAAGAGGGAGTGGGAGGAGAGGTGTGCGCGGAGTTGATTTGCAACAACGAGTTCTAGGACTTTTGCGAGGAAGGGCATTTGAAATAGGGCAGTCGTGGCTGGGGTTTGAGGGATCTAGGGAAGGTTTTTTGAGGAGGGGGGTGATGACAGCAGTTTTGAGAGGGGCAGAGACTGATCCAGAGGAGAGGGACTGGTTGATGACATCAGCCAGTAATGGGCAGAAGAGGGGGAGCTGGGTGACCAGCAAGTTGGTGGGGAGGGGTCGAGGCAATAGATGGTGGGTTTCATTGAGATGATGGTGGGTGAGAGGGAGGAGGGAGAAATGGGGAGGAAGGAATGTAGGATGGGGGTCGTGGTAGGAGCTGATGATAGGGAAGGTGAGGGGGATGGAGAAGGGGTAGTGGTGGGTGACAAGAGACAGGTGGATGAGGCTGCCTAGCGGATGTTGTGTATTTTGGATGAAAAGAAGTCCATGACCTCCTCGCACTTGGCGTTGGATGTGAAGATTGAGGAGGCCTGAGGGGGGGCACAGAGGAGGTAGTGAGTGGTGGAAAAAAGGATTTTAGGGTTGTGGTTAGCCTCCAAGATGATGTTGGAGTAGAAGGATGTTTTTGCGCGTGTCAAAGAATGGCGGTAGCTGTGGAGATGCTCGAGCCACAGTTGGCGGTGGACTGTCAGGCTAGTTTTCCGCCATCTGTGCTCGAGCAGCCGGCTTTGGGTTTTTTGACAGTGGAGGTGGTTGTTATGCAAGGGGGATCGGGTGGATTTGGAGATGGTCCTGGATTTCAGGGGGACGAGGGAGTTGAAGGTGGAGGAGAGGTGATCATGGAGCAGCTGGATGGCTGCTTCAGGATCTCCGCGGGTGGAAGGCCAGAGGGATAGGATATTTGATGATGTGAGGGCCTTTGTGAGGGTTCAGGGGGTAGCCTTTCCATGGGCGGTAGAGAATGGTAGAGAGCTTGGTAGAGGAGAGAGGGATGTGATAAGAGGAGATGAGGAAGTGGTCCGAGATGGCTTTGTACACTATGCTAAGGTTGGAAATGTCAAGGCCGTGGGTGATAACGAGGTCGAGGGCATGGCCACAATTGTGGTAGGTGAATTTATGTGAAGGGTGAGGTTTAGGGAGGAAAGGAGGGCAGTGAAGTCGGAAGAAGTGGTGCAAGGGGAGTTTTGGTGGAGGTTGAAATCGCCCATTATGAGCAGGCGTTCAGAGCAAAGGGACAGGGAAGAGGAGGGTACATATGTCTGTGTGGAAGGAGCCAGGGGGCTAAGGGGGGCAGTAGACCCGGAGGATTTTCAGTGGGAGAGAGGGATGGAAGAGGGTGAGGTGCTCGAAGGAGGGGAAGCAGCGGAGGAGTAGGGGGTGAGACCAAGGGAAGCTTTGGAGATGAGAGACACCCCGCCACCACGTTGGTTTGGACGGGATGTGTGATGGAAGTGTAGCCTGGAGGGGAGGCTGCAACTAGGGGGATGGGGTAATTGGGGGAGAGCCAGGTTTCTGTGCCCCATAAATAATTATGAAATGAATGACCAATTTTATTTGGGGCACTGTTGGCCAGGACACCAGGAGCAACTCCCAGTGGGAGAAGCACTTAAGTATCTCAGTAATTCCATTGTATCTCTAATCTTCCCGAATCCCTTGCTGCAGAAGAAATGCATTGAAGGATTCTCCCTGAAACCTTAGCTATTCTTTCTTTATCAGATGTTAATTTACCCATTGCCCCTTTATAAGCTATTGTCCCTCCAGACGCTACCCCATGTGAAGGGCACTATCGAAATGCAAGTTGTTGTTATAACATTGGAGAACATCTCTCCAACGTATCACAGACATTCTTTTTTATGGAGAACTTTAGTTTCTCTATCTGGTTTATAGTACACATGGTATCTTATGCAATCGACCATATATTGATGTTTTTATACAAATAACAACCGTGACCACTTAAATGGGACAAAATGAATTTTCCCAAATTTTTAACATGTCTTCAGGTTGAACAGTTTAATTTTAATTAAATAAGCATGATGCAAACTGCAGCAGTGGCTTGTGGTAAAACATTTTATGTTGAGGATAATAAGCTAATAATTCTAAGACATGGGAAGGCATCAAACATTTTTAATAACATGTTGAAGCTATGGATAGCTTGTACATCAAATGCTTGTTATTTGAAAAAGTGGAGAAAAAGGATTTTTCCTGCAGCATGCTGTACTGGACATTAACTGTATTCCAAATCCAGTGAACTTGAAAGAGTCCATCTCAATCTTTGACATGTCCATATCCACAGCTGGAAACTCTGCAGCAAGCCCTCAAAGAAGCACAAAGTGACAACGGTCGACTCCATCAAGAAAGCGAGTTAGTGGTCACAAATGTTAGTCAGTGGATTAAAGAACAGAAGTGAGTAAATATTGGTGTTTAAATCTGATGTTTCCACTTATGGTAATATTTCCAAATGTGGTATACTTATGATCATCTATCCATGCCACTCTATGGTATGCATAGATGATCATTGAGAAAACAAATTATTGATTAAGTTATGGTGTAAAATTGTTCTATATTTTCCCTAAAGGTTTTTAAGAAAATAGTGCCCAGTGGGCCTTAAGTAGCCAATTAAACTCATTGGAGGACTTGTTTTAAGCCAATCACAATTTCATATGATGTTCACTTTGGTTGTTATTAATAATAATAATAATAATCCTTGCATTTGATATACCGCTTTTCACGTCGGGAGGACGTCCCAAAGCGCTTCGCAGAACACACTGTAAAGTGAATTGACTGTATATTTGTGGGCGAACGCAGCAGCCAATTGCGCACAGCAATGTCCCACAAACAGTCGTGGATTGAAAATGACCAATTTATTGTTTTGTTTTTTTGGAGGGATTATTATTAGGTGTGTGGAGTAAGGAAACTTGCCCAAGGTTTCGCCCTGCCTGGAATTGAACTCAGGTCTCTCGCTTGCAAAGCGAGTGTTCTAACCACTGAGGACTCCACAAGGAGTCGAGGAGACAGGGGGAGCCCTGGTCACTGGTGGACAAAATATCATTTATCACTTTGACCAAGGCTGTTTCTGCACTGTGGGCAGTATGGAAACCCGATCGGAGGAGTTTGTATAGGGAGTGATGATTCCAGGGCAGTTGGAGATGGAGGTGGATTGGGTGACGGTGGGGAGAGGGATTGAGGAGTTAATAATAATAATAATAATTCTTGCATTTGATATAGCGCTTTTCACTTCAGGAGGACGTCCCAAAGCGCTTCACAGAACACACTGTAAAGTGAATGTTACCAGAGATAACCTTACCACAGATGGTGTGTATATTACGCAAAAAAAACTGCCAGTTTGCAAATATTTGCCCTCGCAATTTTTTTTTACAATCCCAATACTTGTCAGTTCTTTGTTTTCTCACATATAATGTGAGAAATATAATGTGGCCATCAATATAAAATAGTCACAAATAGATCAAATAGGAAAGTTAGAAGAAATTTCTTCACAGAGAGAGTGGTGAGAATGTGGAAAATGCTGTTGAGCCAAACAGCATAGATGTATTTAAGGGAAAGCTAGATAGGTACATGAGGGAGAAAGGAATAGAAGGTTATGGTTGAAGGCTTAGTTGAGGAAAGGCAGGGGAAGGCTCTTGTAGAGCATAAACACCAGCATAGACCAGTTGGGCCGAATGGCCTGTTTCTGTGCTATATATTCTAATGTAATTAATGGGTATCTGAGCGTCATCCGATTCTTATGATGGACTGAAATGAAACATGCCAGTTGATTGGTCCGTGTTCCGCATGATCATTTTGGATACCCACGCGTATACATCTTTAAAAACCCGAATCTCTGGTTACTTAACCCCAGCTCCTGCTAAGCAGCTGTTTGTTCGTATCCCCCCCCCCCCCTCTTCCCCACCCACAAGACTGGATACACATAATTTATTTTGGATGATCCAGTGACACTGCATATTTTGCAAGTGCATAATGCATAAACCTGCCATTAAAATCCAAAATACCTCAAACAATCTAACTATATCAGCTTCATTACTTTTAAGATCAACATTTCAAGAGTTTGAGCCGAGGAATCGTATCCGGGTTGTGTGAATGGGGTGATGGTATGCTAAATATTATTTGTAGAGTTGGTGGTAGGTCATTCCAGGACATACCTCATAAACTGAGGAAATATGCCAATCTGTATGGAGTATTTAGAAAAGAATGCACAAAACACTCTGAAGCAGATTCAAGTTGCGGAGGTGGGGGAAGGCAGAGCAGCTCATGGTGGCATGGACGTGGGGTAGAAAGGACAGTTGAGGGCCAAACGACGCCAAGGTTTCGAACTGGCTCGGTGAGGTGGAGTGTGCATCCTTGGACGGTGATACTGCCAGTGCCTGAGATGTGGAGGCACTGACGGGAGTCAATCAGGAGAGCCTCGGTCTTGTTGATGTAGAGCTAAGTTCAACAGAACTGGAGAAAGTTAGCTCTCATTCAGATATTCTGTCAGGACAGCAGTAGTCCTGGAGTTGAGGGTCAAGGCAGAGAGATAGATTTGGGTGTCATCCAAATACATGTGGAAGTTAATCCCCATCATACGGATGATATCACTGAGTGGAAACATGTATATATAAAGAGGAAAGAACAAGGGTGAGCCTTGAGGAATTCAGCAAATGACAGCACAAGGGCTGGAGGAGAAGCAGTTAGCAGATAAAACTTTATTTCTAAATGTATGTTAACATTTATCTCTGGTTTTATTCAGGAAAGAAATTATCCAAATATCACCCCAATAATTCATTGTCTTAAGTAGCAATAGTGAAAAAGACCAGAGACCTTTCAATAAAAGAACACAAAATAACAATATAATAATAATGGAGCCCAGGATATGTTTCACTAATTTTCTTGTTTTATGATCCTTTTATAACTGATCTTTTCTCATTTGTTTCACCTGTTCTCTGAAGTAAATTTAAGAATTCTTTAGCCTTCTCACCAACCAACACAGTAATCTGTGTCTTGTCAAATTGCCTTTAAACACTTTTTCTCATGTACTTATTACTTATATAATTTTATTGACAATCCTGTTACCTTCCTACAATTCTATGTGTATTACATTTAAAAAATGCTACCTATATATGATATTTTACTGTTTTTTGTTGTTCTTAAAAAAACTTAGAGGAAATCTGCTTCAAAATTATAGTTGTTTTCAAGAATTTGCCAAATTCCACACATTCTCAAACGCTACGTTAGCAGAGTAAATTTAGACCAGGATAGAATTTTACTCCTCTGCTGTCTAGTATTTCGCCTACATAATCACTACACTTTACAGTATATCCTGTGAAGCACTTTAAGATGTCTCAATGACATGATAAGGCGCTATATTAATTGCAAGGATTATTATCACCTCAAGGCTGGACTATGGGACCTCTCTCCTCGCCGGCCTTCCCGGCACCTCCCTCCACAAGCTGCAGGTCATTCAGAACTCTGCAGCTCGTGTACTGTCCCGCACCAGGCTTCGCGACCACATCACTCCCACCCTCGCTCGCCTCCACTGGCTCTCCATCCCCCAGAGGATCGAATTCAAGATCCTCATCCTCACCTACAAGGCCATTCACGGACTTGCTCCCTCCTACCTCTCCGACCTACTATCCCCCTACCTACCTGCCCATACCCTCCGTTCCTCTGGCTCCGGTCTGCTCCACATCCCCCGCCCCAACCGCCCTAACATCGGTTGCCGGGCTTTCAGCCTCTCAGCCCTTAGGCTCTGGAACTCTATCCCCCAGTGCCTTCGCCTTGTTTCCTCCCTTTCCTCTTTCAAGGCCGGTCTCAAGACCTTTCTCTTTGACCGTGCCTTCAGCTCCCCTCTCAACTCTCTACCCCCTACTCGCCCCCTCCCTTCCCTCCCCTCACCCTGAACATTTACCCCCTCTTCGCTCCCTCCCTTCCCTCCCCTCACCCTGACCATTTCCCCCCTACTCGGGTCCTGACCCAACTGTCCAGCGCCTTGGGACGTCCTCCCGATGTGAAAGGCGCTCTATAAATGGAATCTTGTTGTTGTTGTTATTATAGCATTCAGCATGAAGACAAGAAAAACGTTTAAACAGGCTGGCCGTAAGCAAACGTTCAAATGAGGGGAGTCTAATTCTGATAATTTTCAATGAGATAATATCAAAGGAATTCATAGAACTCATTGAAACACGTTCAGTTCTATACTTCTATAAAGATATAAAGTTGAGTGACCTTTAAAATAAAACAAAATAAAATATTCAGTTTAGGTGTACAGCTATTCTCCTTTCCTACCTTTGAGCTTTCTACTGTTAGTTTCTCTCTTTGATGTATGTTCTTTAAATATTCAATTCTGGCCATGTTTCAATTTTCATGGTTTATTTAGACATTCAGGATTTGTTCCAAATTGACTGGAGAAGTTTTTTTAAAAAGAATAGTGTTCATAATCTTAGTGAAGTGAAGCTTTAGTTTACTTTTTCCATGAAAGGTGATGTAACCTCCAAAGTGTCTGTTTTATGTTAACAAAATAAATTAAAGCACTTTAGACATTACTCAGTGCTTTTGAACTCGCATTGAAATGCTATCTAATTTACTTAGTAAAAATACAGACATCTTGTTGGAGAATGAGGGAAAGAAGAGGGTAAAACACACACAAACGCAACACCGGAAACCTTCTGTCTTTCTGGCTATCTCCCCCCCACCACCCCTGTTATATTGATCAGATCAGCCAACTAATTTGGTCACTGAATCCACAACAGTTTGTGGGACACTGCTGTATGCAATTGAATGCCGCATTTCGCCCACAGTCAATTCACTTTATTCTGTGAAGCACTTTGAGACATCTCAGAAATGTGATAAGGTGCTATATCAAATGCAAGGATTATTGTAAGCCTACCAACTCCCAAAGTTGCCTGGACTACACCCCACCTCCTGTAAAGACTCCATTCTCTTTTCCCAGTTACTCGGCCTCTGCCACATCTGCTTTGACGATGCCACCTTTCACACCAGAGCAACTGAAATGTCTTCTTTTTTCCTCGACTGAAGGCAGGGCCCTTGACTGTGTGCGCCCTATTTCCCGCACCTCTGCCCTCATCTCTTCCCCCTCTTCCCAGAACCGTGATAGAGTCCCCCTAGTCCTCACCTTCCACTCCACCAGCATCAACATCCAACAAATAATTCTCCGTCATTTCCAGCAAGATCCAACCACCTAATGTCTTTCCTTCCCCTCCCCTCTCAGCATTCCGAAGGGACTGTTCCCTCTGTGACACTCTGATTCATTCCTCAATCACCACCTACAGTTACTCAAGAACTGGACTTCTACGATCACCACAGAGGATTCACATTCTGACACCTCACTTTCGAGCAAGCTCTGTCGTCCAATTCCCCCCTTCCCCCACGGATAATCACTAGGTGATCGTTAGACATCCAACAACCACAGGTTTGAGCCTTCCATGTGGATAGCAGTTATCAGGAACTCTTTTGAAGTCTCTTGGTGAGTAGCAAAACCTGACATGAGATGTGTGAGCACAGTGCCACCATTCTCCTCTCCACCTGTTGAAATTAGTCTGTTAGCTATTTAGGTTTACTGCTGTAAACCAGTTTACAAAGTCAGAAGGCTCATAGCAAACTCTAAAAATGCTATATCCAAAAAATCATGTGAAATGTTTTTCAGTCTAATTGAAAACATGACAGGATGCTGTATTTACAAAGCAGACGAGAGAAAAGATATTTGTCATCAAAACTTGCTGACAGAATAAGAAAAATTAGTCATTACGGTTGAGAAGAAATGTAACACAAATGACAATAATAATAGGCTGATCATCATCTGAAAACGAGAAAGGTAAACTAATGTGTTGGGTGAGGCCGTACATCATAACAACACTTGAATGTTTCCACTCAAAATATTAATCTATTATCCTCTGTCGGATTCTAATCCAGTTTTTCTTATTTTGACTTGAAGATATTTGTATTTTAAAGTTTATGCAGCAAACATCACTTTAAGCATTGTATGCAAGCTGACTTTATGATCCATGCATGAGCACAAAAGTTTCAAATAACATTTTCTATTTCATTAAATAATGATGAAAATATAAATCTGTATTGTCATAAAGTTATGCAGTAATGTTATTACGGAACATTTCCAACAAAGCTAATCAAATATGGGGCTACATCTAAAGGACAGTAAATCATATGAGGGTAGAAATTATGTTAATCTAAATGGATGATTGGTAAGGCTACATCTGGAATGCTATGGACAATTTTCCCAAAATGGTAATTGTTAGAACAGGAAAAGACATCAGTGTGGATGGAAATTCACAAACGTACACCCTGATTGAACTCTGACACCATGAACACACCAATCATATGAACAAAGAATGTTGAATAAGTAATGCATTACTCTGCCCAAATACTGCACATGAAAAACATAGACAATACAAAGCTTCATGTTGCTACAGTTGTATTCCTACCCCCGTGACGACAGTTAGCAGTTCAGCAAAGCTGAGCACCTCCTTACGTGTGGGTTCCATGCAATCTTCGGAGAAAACAGACAGACTGGGCAGAAGAAAAACTACAAATTCACCAACTGGGTGTGGAATTATCCATATTTCAGCCAATCACTGTTTTCTGAAAATCTGCTGAAGTTGATATAAGGCAATCTGGATTTATTGGCCAGGAATTGTTATTGTGTACTCATATAAGATATTTGAATTTGAAGCAGCTGCTGCCTGCTATCTGTTAGCTAATATTCTGTACAATATTGTCAATTGGAGTGAGGGTATTATTGAATATGGTGAAAAGGGATTAAAAGATCTATCATGATCTAATAAAAAGGTTGAACGGGCTCAATAGCTGAGTATTCTATTGTTTCTATACATTGCTTGCCTCAGAAAAATTTATTTATGCATTCAGGAAATAAATGCAAGTTGTCCAGTGCAATAAGAAAGCAATTTTCTTGTACCATCTGAGTATATGCCTTTATGTTGTGCATATTATATTTTAGTTCACTGAAATACAGAACATGTGCTTTTTACAGATTTTAATTTATTGTACATCTTATTGCAATTAGATCCATTAAAATGTTTACTTTGCATTCAAGAACTTATAGCTTTTCATTACAGTATTTATTTCAATATGCGCCATGTAATGATACAGTCCAATTACTTTTGTTGCACAATATAATCTGTATGCCATTAAAGTTAATTTATTGCAAGTGTTGATTGTTGGCATGTTACATTTCAGAGTTTTATAGCACAATGAGTTGACCATCTCCTTGTATACTCTTAATGTAATAGAATATAAGCTCTAGTGATTGTTGTCACCCGAGCTCAGTTGGTGCCACTCTCACCTCTATCAGGGCTTTACTCATAGTCTAGGCTGACCCTGCAGTGCTAGTGGAGCATTGTGTTGACAGAAGTGCTGCCTTCAGATGAGACGTTAAAAATTCAGTCATCCTGGAGTCATCCTGTTCAGGTAGACGTTAAAGATTTTATGGCATTATTCAAAAAGAGAAGGGAATTTCTCCCGGTGTTCTGGTCAACAATCCCCCAGAAAAAAATGGTCATTTATTTTGACTTGTTTGTGGGACATTGCTCTGTTTAAATTGGCTGAAACATTCGCCTACAGTTACTACACTAAACAGTAATCCCTGTGAAGCGATTTGAGACCTTTCAGTGCCTTGATAAGAAAATAAGACAATATCAAATGCAATCATTATTATTATAGAACAATACGAGGGTTAATTAATAAATTATTCATCTGCTCTGACTGTGTCTGTAAGACTGTTTTAGAATATCTTACAAACAGGAACTGTATCCTTGCTCTTGAATTTGATTATTATATTTACTAGATTAAGTTACATTGCACATTGTAATGTGATATTTGCTCACTTTACAGACTGAAGGAATATTTTGCCTGATGACTGTCAAAGTTGTGACAGAATAAGCCATTTGCCGGTCTAGGGAATGCATAGTCACGAGGTCTGAATGTTTTTACTCAGTCCAACCCTTTCTTTTTTACTTACTGTATTTATTGTTCTTTTTAGGATTGCAAATGACAATTTTGGTGCCAAGTTCAAGGAACAAAACCAACTCATCTCTCAGTTAACTGCTGATAAGGTGTAAGTTTGAAATGTTTGCAATTAGCATGTTTTGGTTCAAGCAATTCAATTTCCTGTTTGCAAATTGATTCATGTATTTTAACTATCAGGAACACAAAAAAAACTTACAGCTATTAAAGTAACTAGTCATTAAGGGTCCTGGAACCAGATGTCATAGATATGTATATTTTTCAATAAAACTTGTAGGAAGAATTAGGAAACAACATTTACATTTTGTTAACTTCAAAATTATATAGTATCAGTTACATTTGTATAACAAAGTTAATTTTGGATGGAATTCGGTATGAAGTTGAATGTCAGGCAGAGCTTTGTAATATTAAGGTGGGAGTTGTCTGGAAATGAATCGTCACCTGTCCTTCTGATAGAATTTAATGCTGTGCTGATCCTGGCAGTGTCAAACTTAAAAGAACAACAATTTGCATTTATATAGCACCCCTCACACAGGGTAGCGTCCCAGAGCACTTGACAGTGGCAGAGCATGAACCTGAGCCACAGGAGGGGGGAGGTGACCGTAAGCACAGTTGAAAAATAAAATAAGTTCCCCTTTGCATCCTGGAATCTATCAAATCACACAAGGAGCTTTGAATGAAAATCCTCCCCTCCCTATCCCAGTCCACTACAGCATCTCTGGTTATCCGATTGTGATCAGTTAACTCATTAGCAGTTAGCATTGAAGCTGGACATTCCCAGTCTATGAAATTCAGCAACTTACAGGATGATCTCACAGAAATATTATTTCCTTCCTTGACAGTAGCGGTCTTCCACTTCTCAACAGTTTGAATTTATTTCACTCCTGTGAAGAAACAGAAATAAAGTAATAGTGGGAAACTGGAGGTAATTAAGATAACTCGCAGGCCTAAGGGTACATCAGACATTATATCAAAGAACGAGATTCAGATGATATACTTGATGGTTCACCCAATCTATTCCTAAGGATTCATAATTGAGAATTGTTGATCAAGCATTTTAAAAACTTCGGCACGATATCAGAATCTGAATATTTTCACAGCAATTTACAGGAAATCACTGAAGCCTTGAATCAAGATTTGAAAAAAGTGAAAGCTGATTTAGAAGAAAAGAAAATAGAAATTGAACAAATGAAGGTACACAAAATAATACCTATTCAAGTTGAGAATATGTGGTGCTTTTACCTTATGTATAAGGCTATTTCCAATTAGTTAGGATCCATAGCAATAATCCATGGTGTTCCAGTTATCTGCCATAATCTGCTCAATCCTTTTATAATTTATAAACCAAAGAGGGATGAATCATTGGCACTCTATTGTTCTCATTTTTTATATATTGAATAAACAGGAGTCACTTCTTCATTGATTGTCCTTACAAGACTACAGATACTGTAGTTAAAGAAACCTATATAATTGAGCTGTACTAGTATAAAATATGCTTTAAATGAGAACATAGCTGGACTTCTTTAACAGCTGTTTATTTTTTCTCATTGTATGATACTTGGTGATGTTTGGTAGTTGAGTGTTCAATCGGTACTGTCTTCTGTTCTGTTTAAACAGGCATTACAGAGTCATGCTGCCATTCAGAAAACCCTGATTAATCAGCTTAGAGGTCAAATAGAAGATCAAGAGTGAGTAGCTGTATCACAGCTAAATTTAAATATTCTACAGTACAATTCAGCAGCTCATAATCATATCCTCCTTAGGATGTTGACAGTTTCACTGTACATGACAAGCTTTTTGATAAGCGTTGGTTATTCATTCACTAGAAAATGAGGTCTAGTACTTTTGAAGCCGGCACTATTACGACAAATTTGGTCAAAATTGACACATTTCAAATGAGTTTATTATATGTAGCAAATAATGTTTTTAGTGATTTTTAAGAAGACTTAATTTGCAATATAAGAAAGAAATCCACAGAACTGTTTCGCTGACATTTGTGTTTCCATGTGGTACTTTAAAGAAAAAGCTTTAATTATATAAAACATATTAATTTACACTTTCATGTGTTAGAAGGTTCCATGATGAATGTCACAATTTGAAGAAAAAAACAGCACAGTATTGAAATGGTTCTTTTTGGAGGGAGGAGTTCTCTCGAAAATGTTAATCTTGTCGTTTCAATGCAGTTTTAGATTGGTCTCTTGGGGCTCATCTAAAATATGTATGTATTGACATAAACAATAGCATTACCTTGGGTGTTTAAATTATCCACCTTCTTTTGAAAAGAACAGTGTTAAACATATCCTACAATTGCATTTTGAACAATATCTGTTAGAGCACTCTTCTTCAGACATTTGTAATGGCACTCATACGATCTAAAGATTCACAACAATTGCCGACCTTGCAGAGCCAGTCACGTCGACAACAGAAGAAGAAAAATGACCTTCTGTTTTGGAAGTCATTTTAATATAGACGAGATTGGTCTGGGCCCTGCAGATTGACAGATTATCCATTACAACTATCATTTCAATAATCTCAGTGACTGCATTGCAGTGGTTACTTGGTGCAGTATCAAAGGTTGAATATATTGTAAATAGCACGAATGGGGAAAAAATGTAGATGTATTCACTTTGGAATAGTTGTGGTATGCTATTCCTCCTATTGATCCATTACCTGCAATTTTGTAATAGCAGTTGTACAAAATATGCTTTAAATCTAATTATTTTCACAGTTATAATTTGTTCTATTTTCATGAATGATGTTAAATTACATTTACATTTATATCATGTTAGAATTGAGGTTCTGAAGTGATGGATATTTTTGTTATGAACACACATACAACTACACAATTCCAGGACCTTGCACACACTACAGTTATCAATGGGGAAAATGGAGAATTCCATCTTTAAGATGTTCAAATCTCAGTGGCGTCATTACGTTGTGAACCACCGTCCCAGTAACCTTCCACCACATAAAAGGTTCTCACAAATGACCTTTTATTTATTTCGTTGTGATTGTAGCTTTAATTCTCACTTTGATGTGCAATTCCAGAGAGTGGTGGTATAGCTTTCAGCCACTACATCCCTGGATAAAACTCGCTTCCTAAATCTGTTTCACTTGAGCTTTGTCACTGCAGTCAACACTCTCTTAAAAAACTATCTCTTTCGCTATGCCTTTGGTCAAAACCCTCAAATTCTTAATCTCCTCTATGCCAGATGATTCCATCATCTTTTAAAGTGCTTTGAAATATTACTCTCACATGAAGGCATTCAATAACTGTAACATATTACTTAACTGCTCGAATCAACTGTACCTTTAAGATGTTAAAATAATAATAATAATAATCCTTGCATTTGATATAGCGCTTTTCACGTCAGGAGGACGTCCCAAAGAGCTTCACAGAACACACTGTAAAGTGAATTGACTGTATATTTGTGGGCGAACGCGGCAGCCAATTGCGCACAGCAATGTCCCACAAACAGTCGTAGATTGAAAATGACCAATTTTTTATTATTGTTTTGGTTTTGGAGGGATTATTATTAGGCTCTGTGTGGAGTAAGGAAACTTGCCCAAGGTTTTGCCCTGTGCCTGGAATTGAACTCAGGTCTCTCGCTTGCAAAGCGAGTGCTCTAACCACTGAGCTACAGGACTCCACTGTCATAGATACCATGATATTGGCAACCATTATTCAAGTGATGTTTTCCTGCACTATACAAGAGACACCGGCTTCACTTTTTTAGCTTAGTGAGGCCAGATGTCTCAGAAATGTAAACCTCAACCACACTTCCATCATTTGACTGTGACAGCACATCCTTGATGAGATAGGGAGTTTGCATTCAAATGACAGTACATAAGCAGATTATAAATTCAAGTGGCATCTTTGGCCCTTTTAGATTTAAAGATTCTATTCCAGGTTTAAACTGTATATTGCTCAACAGATGACACAGTGCTGATTTATTTTACCAATAAAGAGAGAAGGATTCAATCGAGACCTTGTGTTAGAACAGCGAACAGATTAGCATTGGTGCCAAAAAGCAAAGTGAACTTCCATTGTAAGCACAGAACACAAAGTTCATTAACAGCAACAAACCACTTGCTTTCAACTGCAATGTTTCCATGTCAGATTAGCGACAGATAGGGCTGATCTATCTTGATTTGGTCTTGAGTTATTCGCTTGAATGATATAATGATTCACCCAAAGCTGACAGGAAGTTTTGAATGCTTTGGGATATCTATAACTAGATTTTCAGAAAGCATTTAATAAAGTTCTACGTGTGAGACGATTAAAGAATGTTGAGAATTAATGACAAATTTAATAAGTGAATTAAAAACTGCCTTGACTCCCTTTTTGGAGATGGTGACTCGCAGAGTTCCACGCAGTTTGCTTTTCATACATCAACCATAGGAAGAAAATACTTGTAATTTTGTGAGATTGGCTGAAGATATTACATCCTGCATGGGTAGGTTACTATGTCTAGGGAGCGCCATTACAGACATTTCCTGTGTAACTGTGAGCGTGATGACCTGATGACCGAGAAGTCAATAATTATTTGGCGCTTCACTTATAAGATTGGCTGCCACATTGGCCCACAAAACACACGGTCAAAGCACTTTACAGAATATCCTGTGAAGTGCTTCCTGTTTAAGGCTCCATATCAGTGTTGGCCAACCTTTGTGATCGGCCAACAGAATAAATTTATGCCATAAATCAAAAAATATTCAATTAAGAAAACACACTACCGATCGAACACAAACTTACCTAGACTTGCGCAAATGTTCTGTGGGGTGTGGGGGCCTTCTTTACAGCCCTGTGGTTGGCCACCGCTGCTCTAAATCAAATTATTTATTCTTTTATTATAACCCAGTTGAGACATTGGAGCCAGCTGCTATAATGAGGTTTCCCTGTACATATGTTCACTTTCCTCTTAATCTTTAAAATGTTGTTGGAAGATTAACATTCCTAAAGTAGTAATGCAGCAGTGTTTCTGTTTTACTAAAAATTAATTTCAAAGGTTCACTGGAGAAATCTGAAATATTATTTATGACCTGAATTTTTATATTGGCTTGCTGTGAACACAGTTGAAGCTGCGTGACTTATTAGAATTATCAAATTTTCCTCAACAGTAACATCATGCTCTGTCTAGGTCTCTCCACACCTGCAGCTGCTGCTTGCAATTTTGTTAGTGAAATTAGAGACTGATTCAAAGCTCAAATTGTTTCCAACCGAGTATAATTATCAGTGTATCCTTCTTTAAAAGGCAAATTTGCTGTAGTTCAATACAGATTTTGAGCTCGACTGACATCTTATGAATGTTGATATGTTAAATTCTCAACTTTGGTCATTTACATTCTTTAATTGAAAAATTGCAGTTGGAAATGTACTGTTGCTTTTTGAGCAGGAGTATTCTAAATAGGGTACAGAAAAAGGAAAATATCTTTAAAACCAGTATGTTGACGAAAAATATTATTTGGGGATTAGATTTCAGGATCTGTAGATGAACAGGGGTATTTTAAATCTATAACTCAGCTCCTGTTAACCCTGCAAATCAAAAGCCTTATGGATCGGATGGTCCTAGCTGAACAAGCAGTAGGAAGCTTGCCAGACAGTGCTTTGAGTGGCAAGCTATGTGGTTTAGCAAGTTAAACTCCATACTCTCAGATCCCTAAGCCTTGGATCTTTCCAACCCATGTTTAATACTGCCCAGAATTAGGGAAGGAGGGGAGGGTGCATCCCTCCAGGGACATTCCATTCCAGACATAGGGAAATGTCCATGTGTTGGTGACATACATATGTGGAACTCTCAGTCTGGTTTGGATACTCTTAGGCATCATGGTGGTTTCCGCATGTATCAGACACAGCTGATTAAAATCAGGTGGTGGGTGGGGGAGTTTGTGGTCTTCACCAGCCGCCAGATACTGTAGAACCATTTTTTTACACGCCTGCATTTAGTTGGCGTGTAGTGTAAAATATTGGCGTGTATTGTTTTTTACCCAATATTACCATGCAATTTTGATAAAAGGTTGTTAGTGTATATAAGGGTCTGGTTGTCTCCTGGTAGCAGTAATTTCACAAATCCACAAAGCACGAGGTTCTAGTTATTTCTGGTAGCAGTATTCTAAGAAGAATACTTGGCAAGCCCAAAGGATACAAGTGACTGAACACCACAAAACCCCTGAAACTATGAGAAACAATGCATTTGTGAGAAGATCAAGTTCTACATTGGAACTTGAGGCCGTAGACTAGGCTGACACTCCTTTGAATGAGGCATTAAACCAAAGTCCAGCACCTGCCTCTTTATGTGCGTGTTAAAGACTCCTCATACTCTGAAAAGAGAAAGGGAGTTTTCCCAAGGTTCTGACTAACAATAATCCTGATAAACATGTTATTCACTCTGTTGGCCTACAAACAAACAATTACTAATTTGACAATAATCAGTATAAAGAACTTTAGGACATTTTTGTATATTGAGGCATTGTAATAAATAGAAATTATTCTGTAATGCAAACTACTGCTGATCTGTACATGTGCCAGATGCTGCAGAATGCACCACACAATACAAAAGCACCAGCAGGAACAGAGTATGACAGAGATATTTCATCTTAAAACAATATATAAAGAGGGTTCAGATGATGTAAACCACAAGAAAGGAGCTGAAATGTTTGCACAATGTGTGTAGCTAGGGAAATGTTT